TGCGAAGCTCCTTGCGGCAGGGATGTCATCTTCCAAATTGACCTGAGCCCCAGCTGCTTGATACATCCCAAATCCGTCATGATCCGTCGTTCTTTGCATGACTCCCTACTTTTGATGCTTCAACCACTGGTTTAATCCCTACTTTGGAATACTTTGGATAGTTAGATCATGTTAGATCGTGTTCCAGTAACTCGATCGTTGTTGCCGTTTGAGATCCAAAGTTCCCTCCAATGATTGAAACTTAGGGATTAAGGTAATAAAAAACAAATAGTGTTACTTGACTCCCTCACCACGAAAATTGAAAGCAGGCTTAACTTCATGTTGAATCACTTGGATCAACTCGATGCTGCCGTCCATGTTCACTGCCACGCAAGCCTTGCCGCCCGTGGTGCCCGGGTTGTTTTATTAAGGGGGTGTTAATGGGATATGAATTTGGGATATGACTCCGGAAAAGAAGTGGGATACTAATGGAACTTACGGATTTTGTGGAATATTCATAGCACTACCCTCAGGTGTTTTAACAATTTGCGGACTGGAAGCCATGTCCCATGAAAAAGGAGGATTTAATCTTTATTCATGGTGATTTTCCATAGCTATGTTAAATTACCACAGGGCAGCCAAACAGAATGGGAGTATAAACCACGGATTGTTGGTGATATAGTGGGAATATGAAATGGGATATGAACTATGACAGTAACTATGAGCTCGCGCTAGTGTTGGCGAGTCGAAAAGGAAAGAAGACACGATACATATCTTAACTTGGTTCTAGGCAAAACCTATTGGAAACCATCAGTGTTGGGGGTTTCCTATAAGATTTTAAATACCCTCTGGTTATGACTAACAAATCGCCATGGTATAGATGGCCCATAGAAATAGAGGGTTTACCTATTAATAGCATGGTGATTTTCCATGTCAAACTGTTAGTCATAACCAGATGGTAAGATTTTTCGATGAAGTTGGAATCGAAACAGACCCTGTTTGGCACATCACGGCCCCAAAAACGAAGAGTCGGATATTTTCACCATCAGAAAATATTGGGTACCCCAAAGGGTGCCCGAAAAAAACGTGACTGGTTGTGAAATCCCCTAATGGAGGTTGAAAAAGCTCGGAAAAAATATCTATAAATGATAAATGATGGATTGTACAAAGGTTTGATTACCGGAGGGTTAAAAAAAAACAACTTGGCATAGGGAACGAACTATTGGCATTAGCATTTCATGCTATGCCAAACCCTCCATGGGTCTAGGTTCAGTGGGGGAGGTGACCGGGATGTGGTACTTGCTTTTGGTCATGCATCCCACTGTTGTCGCTTCTACATCCATTATCATCCATTGTATTATATCCCATTATGTTACCGTAGTTGAATTTATCTCCAGTAAAAACACACACACATAATATATATATATATATATTATGTATATATACACATACATATGTCTCTTATCCTGATTTACAATGATTTACAACCTGATATGTATGCAATTCGGAAGAGTTACCCAATTTAAATCCCATCATTCCGGTGACATGGCACCAGAAGTCGCAACATCATCAATGCAGAAATATAAACATATCAACTTTCACAAAACATATGTCCCTCATTCATATCCTTATTATTAATAATCATTACCCTCTGGTAAATTAACATAGACCCTGGCAGATAGGGGTTGGAAGATTAGTTTCCATTAAAACTACGCTATTTTCAGGGTCTATGTTAATTTACCAGAGGGTAATTACCGTCAACATCACCATCACGAGGCAGACCGTCCCCTCTGGTACATTATAAGTAACACAGCTGTGGAAATTTTCCACCAAAGATATATGACTGTCACATGCTCACTAATAATCATTATATCATGTAATGTCAACCCTGGATTCATAAACCCCTAGGCCGTTCAATTGGGGGAGTACCATTGAAGTATGAATCAGATTATCACTATGTTTTGAGTCAATAGTATATCATATTGTTTTTTCACTATTTGGATTTAATAATCTGATAGACGGGGCTGATATTAGCGTTAGATAGTATATTATATGTATGCATACTATTAGTCATCACGTTTAGTATATTAATCAATCGGGGTTGATACTAATATTTAATATATTAATCCGGGGTATTTGTATATTAATCTATAGTAATACCATCTGGTAATTTAACATAGCTATTGAAAATGGCCATTGAAATAGTGAGTTTTCCCATTAAAAATGGTGGATCTTTCCATAGTTATGTTAAATTACCAGAGGGTATGTTCACTGTCTCACCACGGCAACGCGCCTGTTGGTTTTCCTGCAACGCTGCCATCGACGCGACGCCGCCCGACGATCCCGGCGGCCCTTGACTGCGCAGCTGCTGGCTCTGCTCGACACCGCTGGTGGATCATGGGTTGGTAACTCATGGTACCCTCTGGTAAACTAACATAGCTATTGAAAATGGCAATTTATCGTTGATTTTCCCATTAAAAAATGGTGGATCTTTCCATAGTTATGGGACAGTTTACCAGGCCGGGTAACTCATCATGGCAGGTTTACCATCAAACATTCGGATTCTGGAGGAGTTTTGATGGAACAACTCATCCGAAAATTGGATTTTTGCCATCAAGTCTTGGGAGTTTGATGGATAACCGGATAACCTTCAACAAAAAAATCAAATGTGGCAACGTGGGGTGCCCGTCACGGGATGTCATTCATAAACTTCCTGCTGTTAATTAACATATGGTGACCAACAATCGGGTGAGTGGTTCTGGCAACCTGGAAGTGGAAAACTACCGTTTCGCCACATCTAAGATAGACATGTTTTACAGATGTTTAAAAATACGGAATGGAAAATCACCCTTTGGAATGGCTGCCATCCAGCACATGTACGAAGGATGCAACCACCCCAACCACCACCACCAGGTTGGTCATTTCACTGCGGTCGACATGTTGGTTAAATCCTTCCTGTATACAGAATACACATGTGCTGGTATGTATCATGTATGTACAGATAGTTGATCTCCATTTAAGTTGTTTTGCAGATAGGTGAATAGGTGCATCTGCAGTATTCCCCTAATCCAGAAAACAACCATTTCGGAAAGGAACATTACATCAGCAGCACCAACCTTGGGGAGGTGCACATCTGTTCCCCACTTGGCAGCCGTGACGGTTCATCCCAAAAAAAAACAGGGGAACCACATATAGGTTTGCTGGTTAAATCTCTAGTTTTCATGGTGAAATCTGGTGAATCATTTCATCTAAAAATCACCTTACTTCTCGAAGTTTCCAATTTTTATGTTCATTGACGGTCATTTTTTTACGGTGGTTAATCAATGTTAATCACCATATGTTTTTTATTTATCTGGTTGGTGGTTTCAACCCCTCTGAAAAATATGAAAGTCAGGTGGGATCATGAAATTCCCAATATATGGAAAGTCATAAAAGCCATGTTCCAAACCACCAACCAGTTATGTTTCCTCTTTTGTTTGGCCATCGAACTCCCATTGAATTCACGCTTCCGAAAAAGGGCTCCCACCGTCCCACAATTTCAAGTGTCACTTAGGTCATCCCGCAGCAAGAGCACCAGGCCACCCTGGTCATCTCCCAGAACGAAGGCCTGTGCCACTGTTGGGATTAATAAAACATGATGAAACTGGTATAATATGTTTATATTTAATCTTAATGGTTATATCCTAACATTATGAAACGCCATGATAAATACTAATGCTTATGTTATCTTTATAAATATATTATATTTGTATGGTTAATGATGGCCTGATTATGGTTATTTGCTATGATTTTGATGGCCTAATGATGGCTATCTCGATGGTTATATGTTATATTTATGTTGTATCAACGGTTCTGACATGGTTAAGAATGGTTAATAGATAGAACTAAATAAATGATAACAATATATTAAAACATGGTACTTTGAATGGTTTAGGGTTATCGATGGTCATGAACGATTGTGAAATGGTTACACGGATCATTTCATCCCAATTTGATCGTGCCGAAACTTGCAAAGTATTGTTTTTTGTTTATCAACAATGTCCATACGTACAAGTGTCTTGGATTTATGGCGGAAAGGATTGATGATGATTTATGATGATTCATGATGATGCACGATGATTTATGATAATGGTTTATGATTTTCCCATGTATAGCAACCCAAAAATGTTGATTTGAGTCCTGTACGGATTGAACGGGATGGGATATACACGACTTTACACGACAAACAGTTTCATCTAATTCAGAGGAATTTCTCACTTTTCTTGGAAGATACCCTCTGGTAAACTAACATAACTATGGAAAATCACGATTGTTCATGGGAAAATTCACTATAAATGGTGATTTTCCATGGTTATGTTATTAAATTACCAGAGGGTACATGAAAACCAACCAGTGCAGCGGTGGCGATGTTCGCGGCTACCAAAATGCCTGAGGATACCCAAACATATCCGATCAGCCTTGAAGCATCACAGAACAAAAGAGAACACATCGAAAAATCAAGAATATAGAAAAACTCGCCAGACATGCAAGAGGCTGAGTGGAAAAAAAACATCTCTAGTTGGGGGTGCATCAATGTGCATCACATTGGCAAATGAATATAAATGATTACATTTTATTTATTTATAACCCGTATATTGTGTAATTTTATATATGTATATATAAAATTATATATAGCCCATAATTGAAACTTATAACTTATAACTGGTAAATATGTCCATTAATCTAGCTGGCATTTTTGCTAGGGTGATTATCCACTTAGTAACTGGGATGCACATAAGATTGTTGATTAGATTATTGATGATACACCTCATTAAGTCCATTATTCCATTTAAGTCCCATCAAGATATCATTACTCTTCATTGTTGATTAGATTTAAATAAATAAATAAATAAATATATGTATATATATATATATATTATATATATTATATTATATTATATATTATGCATGTATATATTCCAGTAATATCCCCAAGAGATGTTCCACCAAGAGTTTTTACATTTTTCCACCGCGACTTCCTCGCCTCGCATCCCAGCAAGGCGGCAGCTTGCAGTTGTCGGCCTTTTCCCAGCCGTGTGGACTGCCCCAAGATCTGTCCTTAACGACGCGGATTTCTGTGGCTTGGCGTGATATGTTCCAAGTGAGACAGAGTCTTATCAAGTGCAACCACTGCAACCACCTGAACTTGGATTATTTTGAAAGCCGGAGAAATTGGTAGATTCACGAACAACCAACGGGCTGCGTAAGTCAACAAAAGTGAGGACATTGGAGGATATTCCCAGTCTCAATCTACCGGCGCCACTCATCACCAAGCGCCCATGATTTTTCAAGATGACGGACCCGGATCCTACAACAAAAAGCTGGGGAAGCCATGCAACCAACATCAAGAAAAGCCTTTTTCGGGGGATCAACTCCGAGTGAACCCCAAAAAATCAGATCGTTGGATTCTACACAAAAGGCTTTCAACAAGGAGTAACAACCTGGTTGGTGGTATACCTACCCCTCTGAAAAATATGAAAGTCAGTTGTCAGTTGGGATGATTATTTCCAATATATGGAAAAATGAAAAATGTTCCAAACCACCAACCAGCAACCCATGACCATCTGATGAATCAACAGGTCGCATGAAATAACGGAACAAAAGAACTATTCCGCAGGCCGCAGCTACGTCAAAATTCAATGAGCCAGCAAGGCGGGTAACTAGGCCCATGTTCAACGCCAGACCTAGGATTTACATATTCCAACCAAAAAAAAACGTAAATATGCCTATGCCCTTAAGATCCATTTGTAAAATTGGATAGTTTTCGTGGACAGTGGAAGAAGCTATCCAAAAAAAAAACAAGACACCGGCAACAACTGGGATCATTGGGATCATTTTCGTAGCAAAAATCCCACTGTGATTTTGGTGAAATGATGCTCGTTTCATCTCGTTTCTATTCCAAACATGCAGCTGTCATGGGTGGTTGCAGTATATCATGAACGAAGTCTTTGTGAGTTTAAAGGCCTCCCATTTCCGCCACAGGCTCCGGTGCTGCTACGATGACATCGCACCTCTCCACTGCGGAGCAGTGCAAAGGTAACAGCACCGTCCAGAAACAGCAGGAAGACCTCAAAAAAAGGGTGCCCCAGGTCGCGATAAATGAGGACTGAACCACTGAACCACCAAAAACATGGGAACATATGGGAACTCTGTGATTGATGATATCTAAATTGGCGATATCTACCCTCTGGTAAATAAACATAGACCCTGAGAATCATCCATTTTTAATGGAAACTAGTCTTGCAACCCCTATCTGCCAGGGTCTATGTTAATTTACCAGAGGGTAAATGGTTTCGATGAGGTTCCAGTGAGTACTAAAACGCACCACCTTACTCGTCAATGGTGCCGTGGCCAAATCGGGATTAGGTCACCATGCCCTGGGGTAAACTAATTCACTGAGCACATCCAGTGGTCAAACCCGCAGTGTCATTGGATGAGTCATCAGGCAAATGTGACAGTTGGGGTAACATGGCGCTTTAAACCACAAGACCTGGTGTTTGAATGATTATTTTCAATAATGTGGGTAAAACAATGCCATAAACCAACCCCCCAAATCACCATAAATATCATAAATAGGTTGCATCAACCATTCCCACATGGTTGGTTTTATTGTTTTATTCACAGTAAACGAATTAAATGACATGAAAGGACCAAACATGGTGACAATGGGATGGGCTCCAGGAACACAAGACAACTCAGCAGACTCATCTGGGTGACACGAATTTGGATTTTAAGAAACCCAAATGTTCAAATGGAACTAGGGAACAACACCAAGAGTTTGTCTATTTAACACGGGGGGTTAAACATGATTAAAAGATCTCAGACCGACAAAACCATGGTTTTGGCCAGCAAGATATGGCTTTCGCTCGGTCGAGATACTGGAGACGGCTGGCAAATGTGCACCACGGGGCCACCTTGGAGAGGGGAAATCCCTCTATGCATAGAGGTTTGAGTGGGAAATCAATGAAGGTTTTACCCTCCAGTAAATTAACATAGACCCTGGTAGATAGGGGTTGGAAGATTAGTTTCCTCTAAAAATTGGTGATTTTCAGGGTCTATGTTAATTTACCAGAGGGTAATGGAAAACATACCATCTGCCCATGGATTGAGCTTTCATGGGATCTAATGGAGGCTTTAACGTGTTTATAGAGCAGGGAATATCATCGAAGTAAAAAAAAATAAGGATTTTCTCGCCTGCGCCATATTTCATGAGACCAGCCAAATACACATAGTGACATAGAGCATCATGGAGTGACATGGGCAAACACACGCATGAGCCCAGGCCTCCAGGCTGTTTCAAGATGTTGTCTTTGCTGTCTATATAATATTGTTAAATATTTGTGTGTGAGATCCGAGAATGGATAAATGCAGGATGGTGGTCTTCTTACATATTGTGTAAGCTACAGCCTCGGGGGACATCCCAGCACACTTCCCATGCCCTTTCCACGCCCAGGTACAACCCTGATCTACCAGGGCTCGCCGTTCCCCCTGTGCGCCACGTGCCGAGTGTAGAAGCCGCCTGCGAACGCTTGAAACCAGCCACAAAATATCTGCAGCGCAGCTTGAAACCACCACCAGTCAATAGATTGGTTTGTGGAAACACCTATACGCCAATTTCATGGAATGTCAACCATCGTGTTTAGCCCAAAATATAGAGCCGCCCGGAAAAAAAGAACTCATTGACTTTGATGATTTACCCACTGCTACATCCTGCTACCCTCCCGGCATCATCAAACATGGCGTGCTGGAAAATCCAACATTTCTCTCTCTCTCTCTCTCTCTCTCTCTCTCTCTCTCCCTCCCTCCCTCCCTCCATTCACATAGTTCGTTGGCTTTCCCAGCTATAAACCTCCATTTGCAGAAAAACAGAAAAAAACATAAGTTTTCCCGACTCCGAAGCCCAGGGGCTCATTGCCCTGCCCCAGCCACGGGCGCCCCCACCTGGTCAACATGAAGTCGCAAAGGTGACGCCAGGTACATCCACTGAAGTCTGCGCCTGGTCATGAGGCGACCGTAGATCCAAACACCCTTATTGTTGGTCATATATCCAATGATTAGATGATATGCTTTGTTATCTGTTGTTATATAAAAATATATATGCTGATATCATGGGATATGATCTTGTATATGAATATGATATATATATATATATATCTATCTGTACATGCATTTTGTACAATATGTATAACAAAATATATGTGCTGTATTACATCAAATATAGTTATACTCTGTGATACTCTGTATGTTATAGTATATTCGCACTTATGCAAACCAAGCGTTAATCATCATTCTTCTCAATTATATTTATATAATATGATATTCCCATGATCGTTGAATAATTTGAATATCAAACACCATTGGTGGTTGATAATCCTAAACAAAGATCACCTGCCTGCTCAAATTGCTCCATTTCAGGGGTTATATCGGGTTCATGAACCGCTTACGATGCCTTGGATGCACATCTGTGTGGGGCTCTTCCTAAGTTGTTCCTCTTTTAAGACGTGTGTTCTACTTCTTTGGGTAGATTTGGGGCTATCCACAGGCCCCCCCTGTTGGACTTAAGATCCTTGTTCCAAGTTTCTCCAGATTTTGCTACCCACCACCCCACCCCAAAAAAGAAACAACATAAACTGGTTGGTGGTTTCAACCCCTCTGAAAAATATGAAAGTCAATGGGAAGGATTATCCCAGACCATATAAATAAAAGCCATGTTCCAAACCACCAACCAGTAAACCATCCCCATCCCCACTGACCGACGAACAAATAAATCATGGATGGCTTTGCCACGGCCACCTGTGACCTCGCGGTAGAAACGCTCTCGCAGGCCTTGCGCCACCTGCTTGGGCCCCCAGTCCTACCGACGACGGGATGACGACGGAACGGAACCGATCTTAGCCTGAAATACAGATCGTTTCAACAAATGTTGACTAAATGGATTACCATCAATTACCATCAATTACCATCTGGTTATTCAACATAGCCATGGAAAATCACCATTCTTAATAGGTAAACCATCTATAAATGGGTTATTTTCCATGGTGAACTGTTAATTAACCAGAGGGTAATAAAAATGGATTTCGATAGTAGAAAGTGTTCAGGTCAAAATGATAGATTTCGTTTTGGGATTGGTTCTGAATTCACTGATCTCAATGCTAAGTCCCTATCCTGACATGACATGTGACATCAGTTTCGGATATTGCCCGATCTTACTTACCTAGACCCTCCAAGTACCCAGAAAAATTGCGGGATTTTCTTGTTATGACTTGGGATGTTCAACAATTTGCACGGGTACTTGGAGGGTCTAAGTATCCTGAAATGACATCATGGATATTTTACAATGGTCTGGTCGTGTCTGGTCGAAACATAACGGCCATGAGTGGACCTGCAACCTTGGCATCATGGGGTCCCCCAACTCTTCTATGGGTACAACCAATCGGGATAACCAAAAAAACTAATCAATTGTGTGGGATTATTTTAGGATGTTATATGTGGTTGACATAGACCATGGAGAATTAGCCAACATCTAAAATCTCATCATCAAATCATGGTCTATTAAAAATTAGATTGTGGTTCATATATGTGGTTCATCTAATATTTCCATGGATATTTCAGGAAAATTCACGAAAATTACCATCTGGTTATTTAACATAGCCATGGAAAATCACAATTTTTAATAGGTAAACCGTCTATAAATGGGCCATTTTCCATGGCGAACTGTTAGTCATAACCAGTGGGTAATTACAGCATCTTCCAAAGCCACTCCGCTCCTTGCAGGCCATGCATGCAGAGACCTGGGAGGTCCCGGGGTGACCGGAACCCGGAACCGCTTTGGAATTCACACAGCTTCTGCGAAATATCTAGGATTTTTGTAGGAAATATATGGAACTATGTATAAATATGTATAAATATGTAGCATTTGCCCAACAAAATGATGACCATGGAATCCTGCTAGATCGAATTCACCCAATTCACCCCCGGAACTCTGGAACGTTACCAGCAGAATATCAGGGGCTGGTTGAGCCAAACCAAAAGCACTCCGGATTTCCGCCTGCAGGGACTCTAAACGACCTGTGCTTTTTTGACATAGAGAGGCATGGTATCATTTGTATGAGCGGAGATCTTTACATACTTTGTCTATGTGACAGTACAGAAAAATAATGGTGTATAGTGTGTATATATATATAAGGTATACATATGTATACATAAATTTTAAACACAACACGTATGCATACTGCATACCGTGTATGTTGTACTCAATGTATATTGTATGTTGCATATAGAAAGAATGTTTGACCCAACTCACATTGGAATTCTTCAACATGTTGGCTTTTTCTCTCCCCGTGAAGGACATCCATTCCAATCCATTCAGTGAACATTGGAGAACTCACCTGTAGGCTGCATCCTCCATCCTCCCTTGGTTGTGTCCCTTGGAGTCAGTGCAGCGCCAAGTTCCAGCCGAGCTGCAGCCCCCCGTGGCCCTGCACTCCACAAGGTGTCGACGGCCAACTCCCAGGGCAGACACGCCCAAAGGTCGGACGCGGCCGGCGCCAGAAAACTCCGCGCCACGTGGGGATCCTCGAAGTCGTAGACCGCCTTTGGGCCGCCTGAGCGGCCGGTCTGCCCCTTTTTTTTCAATGAAAAAAACATAAAAAAACATTTAGACAACCACATATCCATACATCTCATTATACACATCTAACATATCAACATGCAAATTGCTTGATCTTGGGAACTCTTCTGATGCGAGGCACTTAGCACAAAGGCGATGTTTTCCGAGGCCGTTTCCAAGGCAGCTTTCGGATCCCCCTGTACCTGGCATTCGACACGGCCGACTTGGTGGGAGAACAATCCCAAGATTTAGATTTTGTCTTCACTTGAGGTGTTTGTTCAGTAATTTCATGATTTTAAATGATTTTAATATGTTCAATATATATATATATAATGTATAATTGATATAACGTGTTCAGCTTGTCCGAGTTGGATCATGTTGGATCCAGATTCACCTCTTCTGTCATCGACTGGTGCCCGTTGAGTTGACCCCAACAATGTGCGTGAACTGCCGCAACACTGACCGGTCATTGATGATGTTCCTTGTAGTTGAACAAGAAGCCGCCGCCAACCATTCTTATATATGTTTTCTGTATGGACTCAATATTGGAACTATTGGAACGGCTGGAAACTCAAACCAAAGTTGGGATGTAAGTGATGATAAATGATGATAAGATTTGACAAAACACTTGAACTGGATTCTTCAAACAAATATGGCATGCCTTGTGCGTGGCAACACTTTCACATTGAGATTATGTTGGTCACTTCAAGTGTTGTTGCCACCCTGTCTCTAGACTCCCAAACAAGCCACTTGTCAATTATATATAGCTCATGTCTTTGTCGGCTGGGGGTACATCCCACTTAGACAGCCATATATAGTCATATATAGTCCATATACCCTCTGGTAATTTAACATAACTATGGAAAATCATCATTTTTCATGGGAAAATTCACTATCAATGGTGATTTTCAATAGCTATGTTAAATTACCAGAGGGTAACTGGTGATATTTCCATTAAGCTGGCAATTTTGTTAGGGTTATGACCCGCTTGGGTGCGATGCAGCCACGTCACTAGAGCCGGCATGGCAGCACCCCTTCGCGCACGCAAGGAGTAGCTTGAGAGGTCCTGGACGCAAATGGGACCCAAGTGACTCCTGCAATAAAAAGGTGCTGAACCTTTGGTACCTTTAAACAACATATTTGCTTGAGTTTGTTGTCATATGTCCAATGGATCATGATATATAACAATTATAATAATACAATAAAAATAAATAATAATAATAATAATTAATCTAATAATAATAATACAGTAGTAATAATGTTATATATATATATGTATTATAATATATATATATATATATGTGTGTGTCTCTCTCTCTCTCTCATGTTTCAATATTATATTTCGTGATATTCCGATATTCCTCCATTCGGTGGCAAGCCACAACATTGAGCTAAAACACGGGTTTATAGGACCCAAACACCGATGTCACGAGCTCGTGAGGGGTGGCAGTGGGTCAGGACTGCTATCATAGAATGTGTATATATATAATCATCCATCCCACTTGGTGGATCAATGATACTTATATATATATATATATATATAGATATACAGTATATTATATATTTGTATCTGTATCTAATATCTACAGAATAGTATCTATAGTGATATATAGTGTATATATTAATGATACTTCCAGTGAACGTCCTGTTCAAACAGTTGAACATGCTGGACTTGAATTCATCAACCAGGGGTGTTTATCACTGTCAAGTTCATGCTGGGGCAGCATAAACAAAACAAGAGCTGGTGGAATTATATATATACATAATATATATATATACATATATATATATAGATATATACATATACATATAAATATATATATATACACATACTCTGTGCTGTGGCACGTTGACAGTGGACATATACCATATCATACAATGATATATCATCCGCTTCTTTCCAATGCTAACCATGGCGGCTGTAATGCCACTTCTGAACCATGGCTTGTCATGTCATGGGCAGTCACCGTCACTGTAGCATCCCCGTGATAGAAAGGATATTTCAGTGTCCAAATCAGTTGAGCAGTGTTTCAAAATCTGAAATCAGGAGTCCCTGTCTAACTGGTTGGTAGTTTTACCGGATTTCCCAGCTCATGGATTGTGATAATCCCCAATATCTTGTTACAGTATACCCTCTGGTTATTTAACATAGCCATGGAAAATCACCATTTTTAATAGGTAAATCATCTATAACCAGATGGTAACTAGTATAATCCCCTATCAATAATCAACATCATCAAGCGCTCTTCAGCACATCCCGGCGTCTAGACGTGGCGAGGTTCCATCTCGTGGCTATGGCGGCATAAATCACCCCATTTACCTCGGGCCGTAAATATCCCAGGCCAAAATCATGGCGATGCGGGCGATGCGGGCGATACGAGAAACACTCATGGGGAAAAAACATTAGCCAATAATGGTTGATATATGGTTAATATATGATTATTATATGGTTAATGATCTTGAATAATATGGTTTATCACTGATTACTGGTTGGTGGTATACCTGCCCCTCTGAAAAATCATGGAGTTCGTCAGTTGGGAAGGATGACATCCCATATATTATGGAAAGTCGGAAAGTCATAAAATTCATGTTACAAACCACCAACCAGTTAAACTTGTTTTTCAGGATGTTGCAGTTGACTATTTTTTTGGCTTCACACATCACAACTTCCGAAGTTTGGGGCATCGGCCATGCATCGCCCAAGTCGCAAGCACCGCGGCGAAGGAAAATGCGACAGAGCGCCGTTTCGCCACGTGAGGGGTCGAAATGTAGAACCTCGTCAGGTTGTGATCTTTTTTGAGCTGCTAAGAGATATCATTGTGTAAGGTGGATTCAACCAAGAAATATGGGGATATCACGTGGGATAGAATGGGACATACTGTAAACCAAGAACAGGGGATAAATAACAGAATGGATATGATCAAGTCATAAAACTATATATGATATATGATGTATGGTATATGTGTATATATATATTTATTTATTTATCTATTTATTTATGTATTTATATGATCTACATCTATATTGTGCATATATATATATATATTTATTTATTTATCTATTTATATTATGATAATATAAATATATGTAGCTACCTCCAGGTGCTAGAATCCACCGCCACCTGCAGGTTCTGCGGGTTCTCCCCGAAAGCCGCTTGCAAAACCTGCTGCGCTGGAACCACCGCTGCCATGGCAGCGCGGTCAAGGGGTTTTCAAAATGCGACCTGCTACAGCCCTTCGAAGTGTCAAGAAAAAAAACAGGGTGGCCAAGGGATTTTAAGTTCATTTGAGTCACGACATGTTACACCTGAAGAAAACTTTTTTTTTTTGCTCAATTCTTGGGGGGCAACGGCGACCAGAACCGCATCGACCAGAGTTTCCTGCGGTATGCTTCTCAAAGCATGTGGAGAGGTCAACACTATCCTTGCTGTGAGAGAGTGAACTCAAGTGGCTTCAGAAGGCTGTTTGAAAACGTTGACTCATATATTTGAATTAAATATAAACTGACAAACTCAACTTGATCATCGTCAGACTCACATAATAAGCTTAATAAACTAATATAAACTATAAACTTATAAAATAATACTAATATAAACTATAAACGTATTAAAAAATCGATATGTTACGTGTTTAAAGTTGCTAAAACCTGCCATCTTTGCCTTTAAGGCAACCTGTCCCCTCCACGGCCACCATCCCCAGTGATCCCCCCCTGAGCCAATCGGCGGCATCGACCAACGGTGCAACGGTGATAGATGGCCCATAGAAATAGATGGTTTACCTAGCTATGAAATGGTGATTTTCCATGGCGAACTGTTAGTCATAACCAAATGGTACACTATGGTACACTAGTTTACAATCTACATTTCACATCATTTCACAAGGCAAATTTCATTTCCCTAGCCCTTGTTTTGGTATTTTTGGTGCAACACTCCGCAATGAATCAAGGATCAATGCTGCCATGGTATGGCGCCACAGCTTGCAAGGTAAGGTATGGCGTCACAGTTGCCACAGCGAACAAAACTGAGGCTCAGAGTCTTGCCAGTCAGTCATGGCATTCCACGCTCAAGGGAAACTGAGGAATGAGAGAGCAACGGCATGAAGCAAGATATCACACACTCCCTCGCAAAATCATCGACCTAAAATGATAGATGTTTGGGGCTAGCCATTGCTGGAAGGTAACATGCTTTGACGATGTGTTTGCTTGGTTTTATCCAATCGTTTGCTTTAAGTTTCCAAGTCGGGACACCGCTTCCCATTGTTTCCCACTGGTGGTTTGTCCAGCACCATCCTCGAAGAAACGGACGATTGAAACCCTGGGGCAAACATGTCGATTGGAGATCACCTACAACACATAGATGGTATGCATGTGTATATAATTACACATGCGATGTGTATCTATATGTATCTATGTTATATATATATATATACAAAATATGTATCTATGTTTTCTTTATATATATATATAATATAAAATATGATCTTATGTATATAATATATATAATATTATATTATATTATGTATATACATATGATATGTTAAATATATATTTATATATTATATTGTTATTATTATGATTTCTTATATTATATATATATAATATATATCTGCCAAACAGTGTTCATGTGTTCTTTGCAGTTGTACTGCTGCCTTTCCCAATCCAAGTTCCCCCTGTGCATTCAGCGCCGGTGCAAGGCCACAGCTGCTCCAACAACGGGAGGTGGTTCAATCACTGATGGAGAAAGAACAGCAACAACAAACTGTATACAATAGGTTCAAAACACGTCAACTGTTGAACATTTTGTGATGCAAAAACTGCTCCCCAACTGAAATAGACCGAAATCTAATTTGGATCATTGAATAAAAGTCAACAGTATCACAAACATATGGGCAGTGCCCAGCATTACAACCTTTCTTCATGTCCAAATTGTGATGCCCATGGATACGCAACCAATTTAGCTTTATATAGTTGTGCCCAATATGGGCATTGCATTGTTGTCCCTACTCGAGTGTCCAAGTTCGGATTTGTTGTACAGAATAACCCAGCATAAAGCGTTGGCGCCACGGCTAGATGGACGTGGTTCCTCAGTGTTTTAATTGTTCGATCACAAACTAATGGTTTGATAATTGTTCATCATAATTTATCATAATTTCGCAACTACTACCCTTTGGTAAGCGATACATGGCCCGTGAATAAATGATTTACCTATGAACAAATGGTGATTTTCCGTAGTTGTCTTAGTTGATTGGATGGTACCGCCCTTAAAAATCACAGGATAACCGGATAACCTAAATGATGTGGATATGATGTGCTTCTGGTCGCCCAAAAAAAACCTGTTGCCTGTGGGTAAAAACTGCTTGAGCACCGGTACGCCGCCACTGTGCAATGGCCACCCTGGCTGATCAGCTGACTAGGACTAAAACATACTAATGATTAATGTGGTTAAAACAATGCCATTTTTACCACATACCATCTGGTTATGACTAACATAGCCATGGAAAATCCCCTATAAATAGAGGTTTTAATGGGAACATCATCTATAAATGGACCATTTCCATGGCTATGTTAAATAACCAGAGGGTAAACCGCCCCATTTTTTATGGTTATTGTTTATACCCATAAAAATGGTGATGAAATGGTGATGACTTGGGGATGGTAAAAATGGATGAAAATGGCATTGTCTTCACCTAAAACCGCGGTTTGGGCCATTATGATTTCTACTTGGTGGCTCATCCCACTTTGTGGATTATAAAACCCGGTTTTGTTAGCGGGGTAAGTAGGGTTCATCCAAGTATAGCTAGGGTTATAATCACCTACTAAGTCACTAAGTGGAATGAGCCACCAAGTATGACACTTCGCCATGCTTGGTGAAAATCAGTCGCAGAAGAACATGATCAGTGATTGGGGATGATCATCCCATTGGAAGTGAATCACCTGAATAACTGCTTGAAACACTTTAAAACAACAAACTAGTTCATTGGTGTTCATTGGTCATATACCAGTCACATGCCATTTTTCATGGTCAAGTCCCAAGATGTCCGAATTTTGGCTTGGTCGAATTCAACGTTCAAGGATCATTCCAGGATGCCAGGTACGTTTCCATCGCCATCCTGCAAGGACGCGACTCGCTGACACGTTTGCCGCGGTGTTGTTGGACGGTGGAAAAACGGGCATTGAAGTAGAGACCGCAGGTCTGAAGACGTGCTAACATCAATAGTTTCTAGATCCTATGTATATATCTGCATAGGCAAATAGAGATCGATAGTTTAAGAATAGAATAAGAATAGATAGATTAAGTAAATTCAATATAGATCCATAGGTAGATGAACATGTCTATTCTATTACTTATTTCCATTCTCGGCTCGAGCCCTCACTGGCGGTCTGCCCCGCCAGAAGGGGAAGAAAACATATACACAAATGAGGATTTAACCAAGAAGAAAATAGGATTTCATGGAAGTAATAGTTGATTTATGATGATTTATGATCTAAGTTGGTTAACAGGATGTTAATCAGCAAATATTGGAAACATGCTGGTTTAGTGGAATAGTTTTGTATTGGTAAAGATGCTGGTGGGGCCTCATAGTTAGCTAAGTTTCCTGCTGTTTGCTCATGATTAAGCCCCCATTTCTGGTCCTTAGCCAGGCATCCAGGACGCCCATCAATGCCCGTGCCGGGCGCGTCTGGCCAAATGGTCAAGCCATCTGGCCACCAGGTGCGTGTGCCATCTGGCATCACGCTGCGCTCACTTAGGATTCACACTGCTGAGCCCAGGGTCAAGAGATTTAATGGTGATTCAATGGTGATTCAATGGTGATTCAATGGGATTTAGTGGGATTTCATGGAATTCAATGGGATTCTTCAGATGTCACTGCCAATTCCTTGAATCGAACTTCAGTGAGCGCTCCAAAGATTTGGAGGTACCTGACCTCAAAAATCACTGCCAGTATCTCCCAGTATTTGAGCCTATGTGCAGAGACACGCACTGTATAATAAAGTGTATAATATAATGGCATGCATATATAACATATCACACTTATACAATATAACACAATATTTATATATAATACGTATATGTATAATATGGATCTGCATGATATATATAGGCCTTGACATAATGTACATATATAATCTCTATAATGTATATTTATATATAATAATATATATATATGTGTGTGTAAAGATTTATAGAAATAGATTTAGCATCCCCAAAAACAAATAAAATAAATATGACGATTTTAATGGGATAGTATGGGATAGTGCAATTCTATTTGTTTGGTGTTGTTTGAGTAAGTGTGTATATATATAATATATGTATATCATCTATCTATCTATCTATCTATCTGTCTGTCTGCCTGCCTGTCTGTCTGTCTGTCTGTCAATCTATCTGTCTATCCATCTATCTATCTATCTCTATCTCTATGTCTTTCTCTATCTCTATCTCTATCTCTATCTATCTATCTATCTATCTATCTATACGTATATATATGCAAAAATACCTGAATATCAACTACAACTATGTATGTAGCGTTTTAGACCAACAAACCATTACAGCACGTTCGCCAGTTCGCCCAGTTCGCTTTATCCAGCCCAGTTTAGGGTGCTCAGCCTTGACCCTCAAGGTTCACAGTCACGTTCGATTCCAGCGATGGCTGGGCCATGGGATGAATGAAACGAGGACCTGCAATGTCTTCATGTCTTAGACGTCTTGGGCCTTGGGTGAAATTGCAAGGGAAAAAGCATGAAAACGTGCACCTCCAAATTATGGGGCTTTCTGAAGCAGATTGGCCTCAAAACCAAAGGAAGTAGGTGAGGCATGGGGTGAACGTGGTGGACTGACCATGGTTACCCTGCTGAAAACATGTCAAAAAATGCCAAAACTATGCAACTGGCGAACGCTCACATCCCAGAAGTGGATGATGGGAAGAATTACGCTTGAAACCCCTAAAACTACTAGGAAGAAACCCTGGTTTCCTGTAGGTTTTTCCATCTCCAGTGACATGGTAAAAATAAATAACCGTCTCTCGTTTCAACACTGCAGTCGTTGGCCACAGCCCCCAAAAGCGTTCCAAGGCCAATGCTGCCGTATTCCGACACAGGGCCGTGTGATCTGCTGCCAAGTTATTGGAGGCTGTGTGGTCCGTTGTTATGCTGTGGCTGTGTTCATCTAAATTCAACGATTTCTTTGGAACAGGAAGCAGGGCACCAGATTTGAAGCGTAGCATGTAATGTCATCCAGCTTCAACAAGAACCACCGCCAGTGGGTCAAGAACCACCACTGGGGCGCCACGGCAGGCCACCACCCCTGGATTGAATCCTGGTTGTCAAAATATGTGGCTAGTCAAACCCCAAGGAAACCCTGGCGAACCATCAAATACTAGGATTTGACCCATCTCCATATCAGCACCTGTGAGGTTGCCATAGTGGAAAACAAACAATTCCAATACAATTTCAATGGATTAGAACATCATCTTCCCTCTTATTTGACGCTGATTCTTGAGCTAAAATAAATCGCCAAAGCCTGCTCTGGGGCTGGAGATCCAGTTGTTTTAAAAAATAAGTGGATAAGTATATATCTGGATGTGCCAAGTTCTAAGGGCCCAAAAAACATCAACAAAAACAACTTATGGGCCATGGGAGTTAGAATTCCATAGTTCTAGCCATGAACCTCAACTGGACCACCCAGTTGGCACCTTTTCGGGAAGGAAAAACCGATGGAGAACCTATGGAACACCCATTGTAAAAACTATGAAAATTGATGGAACATCTATGAAATTTCATGGAAAATCTATGGAAATCCAAATGGAAAACTCAGCCTGCGATCTGCTAGGGCCACTCTGAAGCCAGGAGTGAACCCCGTAACAAGATAGAGGTATTATACCGTTATACCTTACAGTTATGGCTATTAATATATATGAAAACATATGACAATCGGATTTGGGCATGTTCATGATGATATCCTATCGCGATTGTCCATTGTGATTTGGTCTAAACAAAAACCTTGAACCCGCAAATGTACAACGAATGCGTCGTGAACTCAGGACCTTGACAACTTCATGTTTCTCGCAATGTAACATATAATTCTATATAGTTATGTATATACATACGTATAGATATATATACACACACCCCGCAAGCAGTAAAAACAAACACATAGGAACCTATATAGAACATTAAGTGAAGCAAGTAAAATACAAACAGCAAGCAAATATCAAAAGTTGTCAAATAAGGGGGAGGTGCATTGTGTTCCCAGACATTCAATGGAATATCCTCACTGGCCACCTGCCGTTGGAAAACGATTCCGAGTGCAGCACGTCTGAGTTGCAGAGTTTTCCACTGTCACCCAATCATCGAACGGCAAGCCCCACCAAGCAAACCTTTTATGACATCGATGAATGCTCCCAGATATTTACATGTATATACAATATACAGAAAAATACACACATACTGTCACATACTGCCATACATACGATATCAGACTGTAATTACAGTATCTGCAAACACTTTGAGTCTCGGGTCGTCATCAGGAAAGTGCACATGGTACACCTGGTTGCTCGAACATCCCAGCTAGCAAATGCATACTTCATGGGGATTCAACCTGGTAACCAACAGGGCTACCCCTAATAATAAATGGCTAATAAGCCCCGATAAGATCTCATTCCTGGTTGTCTTCACTCACAAGATACAGTACTTACCCATACTTGGGGAACCATTTGTCTTGTATAATTATTCTATCATGAATGTAATGTACACATTAATTATCGTAGCGTCTTTGTGTCTGGCTAAGCCATGGCCGTTCTTTAGAAACATGAGGTTGTGGTGAGGTCGCCATTGCATACCCAGCCCAAAACTTAAACATGTCAGAACATGAAACGTTCCTCGACTAAAAAGACTTTGCTGAGTCCCACTTGGCTAACACTGCACTGGACTCACCAACCTACGAGCAACATTCTTCCATCCATTCAGCAAGGTTCACCCCAAAGACACCCACACACGCGCACACACACACAAAATATGTATATGCATATATATATATATGTATATATATATATCTGTATATATATATATGTATGTATGTGTATATATATATTACTATACACACACATATAAATATATATATATATATATATGTATGTATGTGTGTGTGTAAATATAAATACATCCTTTACAGTCCATTACTAGCTATTTCTACCAGTCACTAAGGTCAACCCTTCCTTCCACAGTTCAATGGTTTGGTTTAAGGGAAAATCTGAACCGGAGACCATGGTTTTCACGTGCAAATTCAGTGGATTTGACTGCAAATCTTTCCTTCAACAACAGTAAATTATAGTTGATAAGTTGTTTAACATCTTAATTTTAGCTGGCTGTTCACCACATATTATTCCCTATACATCATTTGCATCTACCAACTCATCAAGTTGTGATGGGGTGGCAGCCCCAAGCTCAGAAGTGAAAGACGCCCAGCTGAAAGCCAATAGTGCTGACAATCGCCACACCTCACAAACTCAGCTCCGGTTTTTTTGGGGGGGCATGCTGTTCAGAGAAAAACTCATTTAATCGGATGTAACCAACTGACATTGTATACGTTTAACCAAGTTTGATCCATATATAGCCATGAAAAGCAAATTTTAAACAACAACAACAACAACAAGGAGACTTCATCAACGAATATGTAACTGGGGATGGTTCCCAAGAAAAACTGGAGTGCATTGGAAAATCCCATCAAAATCAAGCAGTAAACCCCCGCTGACCTAAAATCGGAAAAGGATGGACCCAGATGCCATCAGCGTAGTGCTGGCATGATGGAAAAACCAGTTCAAACATGTTCAAACATGATCCAACATATCTAGACACCTGATAATGTGGCCGGGAGTCTCAAGGTGAAGGTGAAATAGTTGATTCTTGGTGATCCCTTCCCCAGAACCTCTTTTCCACCTGGTTGTGTATCAGATCTGTGCATAAATTGAAAAACCAACGTTTTGGGAACTAAGGACCCAATAAAAAAACATGAGGCCGACCCTACCCCATTCTATGGGAAAATGTCAAAGGGGGATATTATTATCATACAAAATTCCCGGTGTTAAATTTCACGAGGTCTTGGGGTTTTGGGATTTTTACGGTATATTGGGTTTCAAAGTCAAAATGCATCATTTCGAGCAACCTGCGAGCAGAAGGGTCGTGAGGAAAAGTGTTGAATGTTGTGATTTTTGTTGAATCAGTGGTCCACAGGTCCAACTGGCGTTCCAGAGAAACTGAAACAGTCGGAAACAGTCGGAAGCAGTCGGGAGCGGCCCGGCGTGATCGTGCCAAAATTGTCAATCCGTTATTTTTTTGCAAAAAAAAACGTTCCGCGCAATCCCATTTTTTTTTTGAAAGTGCAACGGGAAACAGTTGGAAACAGTTGGGGCTCGTACCTTTGACTCGGCAAAAAACGAGCTATTTAAAACCATTCCCTGAGGATCCATGTCGTTAAATACACCAAAAATAGAAATGTAGTCAAAATACAGCTACGTCTCCGTTAACGCTTGATTTTGGTTACATTTGCCGGAACCTGTCGGAAATCCATCGGATTTTGTCGGAAATCGAGAAAAACCGCAGGCATCCTCTATTTGTAAGATGCGCATGCGAGTTGATCATGGTCATATGCAGTTCAAAATCGTGACAAATCGTGATGAATTCTTTTTTGCCACTTAAAATTATGACATTTGTCGGAAACACCGTGACAAAACGTGATAAACCGTGATAAACCGTGATCTGTTTAGGATTGACCGCTCATCTTCTAAGGGTAGCTGCCACTTTTCGCTTGTGCTCACAGCATTTTACGGTAAAATTATGGTTACCGCAAATGTTGCCAAATTTTGGCTACGGATGTCAAATAATGCCTACGGACGTCAAAAAACAAGGTTTACCGCAAATGTCAGCAAATAGACCCAACATTGGATCCACAGGGATTTAAGGTTCATTTTCTTTATAAACTGGTTTTAAATAGCTCGTTTTTTGCCGAGTCAAAGGTACGAGCCCCAACTGTTTCCAACTGTTTCCCGTTGCACTTTCAAAAAAAAAATGGGATTGCGCGGAACCTTTTTTTTTGCAAAAAAATAACGGATTGACAATTTTGGCACGATCACGCCGGGCCGCTCCCGACTGTTTCCGACTGCTTCCGACTGTTTCCGACTGTTTCCGATTATTTCAGTTTCTCTGGAACGCCAGTTGGACCTGTGGACCACTGATTCAACAAAAATCACAACATTCAACACTTTTCCTCACGACCCTTCTGCGTGCAGGTTGCTCGAAATGATGCATTTTGACTTTGAAACCCAATATACCGTAAACATCCCAAAACCCCAAGACCTCGTGAAATTCAATAATTCCCGGGCTTGATGCTGATTCCAATATATAATAGGTATAAAATCCTGGTTCAGATCTATCAGTTGATTTTTCTGCTGGTACCCTCTGGTAGTCTGAAGTCTGGTAATCCAACATAGCTGCGGAAAACCACCATTTTGAATAGCTATATGATTAATCATCTAACAGGATTACCAAAGGGTAAACTCTCCAGTAAGGTCACCATAGTTTTTCCCCACTCCCATTCCGTAAGTCGCATCCTGTCGTAATCTTTATCCTTTCCAAAAATTCGAAGAAATCAGATTCGCCCCGTAAGTTACGATCGTTTTTGTGAACTCAGCATCGTTGATGCTTAAGTTCGCATGTTCGAACGGTGATGCCCGCTTCGATGCTGTCAGAGGCACTGAAATACACGAACTTTTGCATCACCTCGGGGTCTCAACAAGTTAAACGTTGGGTTTTGTTGGGGTTTTAACTGATCAAAAAAAATGGTATATATAGCGATATAACATGATATAACCATGTTCAAGTAACCAACCTAAAACTTTTGTTGATATTTTCTGGTTTCCATTATCAAATGCTGAAAAGAGGGATAGAATCAACAGGAAACAACCCCAAATCCAAGAGCGATTTGGAATCGCACGATGAAAACAATTCAGGGCCTTACCTGACCAAACCCTAAAGCCGAAGCATTCAAACAACGTTGACAAAAGTGAACTTAACTTTGAAAGCGCCTTTTTGTTAAAGGCCGAGGTGCTCCGAGACTCACACGTGTATCCCACATGAAGAAACCTGACTCACAAAGGGTAAGGAAGTTCGCCAAGTCGAGGAATTGGGCCTCCTGGTCCTGGAGCCCGCTCGGCCGGGCATCGATCCCTGCAGTGAAATCATGAACCGAGATGGAAACCCTCTGCTAATCAAACATTGCAATTGGAAAATCCACTATAATTTAATGGGAAATTCTAAAGATGGTGGTTTTTCAATCATCTATAATTTAAGGTTTTGGTGGGAAATCTATAGATGGTGGTTTTTCCAGCAAGCCACGTCTGATGACGCTGGAGGGCACCGCGAGGTTGCAGCTTAGTTCCTCCAAAAAAAATATGTTTCATTGGCTCCAGCATTTCGTTTAGCGACTAACCACAAAAAGTGCACCCAATCGATTCCTCATCGCCATCGATCATGCTGACCAAGGATGGCAACCGTGTACCTTGGCAAGTCTCGGGGCGTCAGCGCCACAAACTGCTGCACTGGAAAATCCATATGTTTTTCATCAAAACACTATGGAAACTGCTGTGAAAATCGATAAAAATGGAGTACTGAGTACTGTATCATACTCTACGGAATCGTCTGAATTTGCAGATTTGTTATACCCATGTTATGGATCAAAATAGCCTGCATGGTTTCAACCACTTAGGGCTACCCAAAATACGTGAAAGTATTTGGACTTATCACCCCAGCTTGGGAGGATATTAAATGAACATAACATAAAGCTTCAACACAAACGACACCACATATACCAGAAAGCCATATATCAATTAAATTCAATTAATATCAATCATCCCATCAAAAGAACCAAAGAACACATAACTCACATAACCCATAAAATTCATTCAACAATCATAACCAAAAATCATAACCAAACATCTTCAAAGTGCATGAAAAATCACAACGGTCCCTTTAAAAGGGCCGTGACGCAATGCGCCGTGGCCGAGGCGGCCACGAAGGGTGCCACCATTAGGGCCATGGCCAGCAGCAGACTGGGCAAGGTCTCCAAGGCCTTGCCGGTGACATAGGAAAAACCAAAGCTATGAGATGTTATAACCATTGGATACCATTAGTAATGATGATAACATCATATGAGTCATATGTTGATGGTAAATTATTATTATGATGATGATGCAAATATCACCAGTTACCCTCTGGTTATGTCAAAATAGCAATGGAAAATGGCTATAGAAATAGTGGATTTTCCCAGCTATAGAATGGTGGATCTTTCCATAGTTATGGGACAGTTTACCAGAGGGTATAACCATTGGATACCATTAGTAATGATAATATCATATGTTGATGGTAATGATGATTGGTAAATTATGATGATGATTGGTAAATGATGATGATGATGATGATGATGATGGTGATGATGATGATGATGGTGATGATGATGATGATGATGCTGATGCTGATGGTGATGATGCTGATGCTGATGGTGGTGATGATGATGATGGTGATGATGATGATGGTGATAAAGAAACCATTAGTAAAGATGGTTGATTAATGATGATAATATCATATGTTGATGGTAATGATGATTGGTAAATTATGATGATGATTGGTAAATGATGATGATCATGATGATGATGATGATGGTGATGATGATGATGATGATGATGATGATGATGATGCTGATGATGATGGTGATGATGATGATGATGATGATGCTGATGCTGATGCTGATGGTGATGATGCTGATGCTGATGGTGGTGATGATGGTGATGATGATGATGGTGATAAAGAAACCATTAGTAAAGATGGTTGATTAATGATGATTATGTCATATGTTGATGGTAATGATGCTATTCTCTCAGTATTCTCTCAGTATTCTAAAACCACAGAAAAACCACCCTAGAACCCATGGTGAATCTACGTGATACCTGTCCAAACATCTCATTTTTTCTGGTGAATGGACTAATTGTTATCTAATCTAATTTTACCATAGCAGAATTGATTGAGGTAAATACTAGTTAAAAACAAACCAGGGGTGACCCAGTTGACCCAGTATATATAACTGGAAATATTTGGTAACCCTTTAGGAATGCCCAAGAATGTTTCAACATTGGATTTCATGGGATACTCTCTGGTAGTGACCAACAGCTTGCGACGGAAACGGAAAATTTGCATCTTTTGAATAGGTCATTCATCGAACTAAATGAAATTTCTAGTGATATCATGTACAGTAGACATAATGGTATATTCAATGAAATATATCTGGTCATCAAACATGGCTTGCTGGAAAATATCCCAGTTAGTTCGACGATTTTCCCAGCTACAAACCTTCCTCTATAGAATATGTTCCGTTGCCGGAGGGTATATCATGCTAATTCATGTTATATATCTGGATATATCACGAAACAAACAGGTTTATATAATGTGGATATTTCATGGGATTTCACCAGCCAATAGTCTGGATAAATGGCATTTTTTTGGGATAGTTACCCCAATCCAAGTGATGTCGCGACCTGGCGTGATCAAATTTCTCCACATGAAATTGGATGAGCACCAGGAGTGCCAAAAGAAAAATGCCTGGCACCAATGAACATATGCTATTCTAAATGATTATGGTATTGAGGAAACCGGAGAAAGCAAAGCAGTGACAGGAGAAAGCAAAACAGTGACAACAACAAGGGTGATCTAACAAAATCCAACAAACAATTATTGATTTGTCCAAAGAGAGCAGCATGAAAAACTCAAAATTTGTTCATTTCTTCCAAAGGATTCAACAGGTTGACTTTGGCGGCCCATTCGGTTTGCGCCATGTCTGGCTCAGTTCCCAAAAAAATCAGTACTCAGTACGTTCCTTGTTCAAATTTCAGCGCTAATATCATCAAAGTTGGCTTGATTTATGACAAGTTTGCACACACATGTAAATATATCTATATGTATGTATGTATGTATGTATGTATGTAATGTAATGTAATGTAATGTAATGTAATGTAATGTAATGTAATGTAATGTAATGTAATGTAATGTATGTATGTATTAAAACCAATTATATAACATGTTCTGAAGTTTAAAATGCACAGACTCAGTTTGAGAACAACGCTTAACGTTGCGTTTTTGTCGAAACCTGGACGGTTTGCCCGTCTTTGCCCCATCTCCGCTTCTTTGGCTTCAGCTCGCCTGACCCTGATGGATGTCAAAGAGGGTTGAGAAGAAGACCTTACAGGGCAAAACATGTGCAAATCCACGGGGCTGTGGAAGAGAACACACAAGAAAATACCCAAGCAAAATGGCTATAGCAATGAAAATCATAGTCCATCCTCCAAAAACAAGTTTCACCCAACTTTGAGAACCTCACTGGCCAGCTAGGCCACAGCCCGACATTATTCACAGTCACAGTGACGGCGTTCAAAGTTGCTGAAACATGCGAGATATCATGGTCAACGCTCCCTTACTTCTATCTGTCCATCCATGGATCAAACTAACGAACTAGCTAACTGACTGACTGACTGACTGACTAACTAGCTAACTAACAAACCAACTAACTAAGTAACTAACAAGCTAACAAACAAACAAACAAACAAACAAACTAACTAACTAACTAACTAACTAAGCATCTATCCATCTACATGTTTTCTATCGATCGTTATCTCTGTCTCCATCCCTATATCGATCCAACATGATCCAACCATCTATATATCTAACTATCCATCCAATTATCTATATATCTAATTATCTATTTATTGAACTCTCGAAGTATCTTGCCAATTGCTTATCTATCTATCCATCCATTCATCCATACATTGATCATTCTACATGTATCCATCCATTTATCTGTCCATCTGTCCATGTCTCCATCCAAGTAGGAATCAATTATCACTTCTTGTATATATCTATATGGTACATGTTCTCACACACACCCATATATATATACATGTAGATACATCACCTATCTATCACCTGATCGACTTTCTGAGTTTCTATGATTGATAGTTAGGTGATTGATAGTTAGGTGAGTTTCTATGATTGATATATAATTATATATATATATACTATACCTAACTATACACTATCTTCATCACCAGGCCACCCCATGGCCCTCCCAGGCCCGCCCCCAGCGCCGGGCTGCCATCAGCGTGGTGCCGCAAAGGCTTGCGAAGGAGCGTTGATAAACGCGCGACGTCACGCGCATGAGGCTGACAGCCTACGCATCGGTGCAGAAATCTATCAATATATATATATAGGTAGATAGATAGATAGATAGATAGATAGATAGATTATATAGGGGTTTCCTAAAACATTGGTACCCAAAAAAGGATGGCTTATTTCATGGAAGATCTTTAAATGGATGATTTGGGGCCCGTCCCCAGCGATGCAGAGACAAAGCGTTTTTTTCATAACTCCAGTGACGTCTCGGTGAGGTCGTTATAATCTATTTATATATATATGTATGATTGTAGATCCATATGTATTCTATCTAGGATGTAGAAATATAATGAAATATATAATCATTATAATTCATATCAATCTTGATTTTGCATTATATACACATCGAATTTCAATATATGGAGGTAGGTTTCCTAAGTCATGGGGGTACCCCAAATCATCCAAGTCATTAAACCATTTTACTTTGTATTGAAACCCATGGTGACGTGGAATCCCCCAGTACTTCAGAAACCAGCATGTACATGGAGGATTTTAATTTATTTATATATATGTTTGCCTGGTAATCTATAAATGATTTATAATATGAAAACTGATCTATACATGGATGTTATATATATAGATTAACACATCAATGGTTATTGTTGGGGGTATCTATTTAGTACCTATGGTTATACAAAATCGTTTATGGTCAATCTATGGTTAGTAGCATGGTTAATCCTGTAAAATATCTGGTTCGCATACAACTAATCTGTTAGTATTTCCCGTGCTTCATTGCTGTCGACTCGGGGTACATTTATGGCCTCACGCCAGTTGCGGCGGCAGTCATGGCAATCCCAGTCTCCCTTCAGCACTCGTTGTGCGAAAGTGAAAATCCTCGGCAGGTCGTTGTGCATCAGCCGAAACAGCCGTTTCGAATGCCGTTCAATCCAATGGTTGAAATTGCTGGGATTCTATGATTTTCTCCAGGAATTGAAAAAGTACACCGCTTGTATTCTTCGGGACTTAGAGCTTGTTGGGAATTTAGATACGTTTCTCGGGAATTTGAACTTTGAAGGATTTTGGGGCTTTGGAAGGAATATTGGTTGATTTACCATCAAAAACTGGGATACGAACCAATCAATTACCATCAACGGATTAGTTTCGATGGATTTGTTTTGAAGAAACTATGATTTCTTAAGGGGAAACACGTCTCTATATCATTCTATATCCTATATGGTTACATCAATTGTGCGGTCCATTTGCTGAAGGATTTACACTATCTGTCCCGATATCCTATATGGTCGCATCGATTGTGTGGTCCATGTGCTGAAGGATTTATGCTATCTGTTCAACAAATCTTTTTGAGTACATACAAGCGTCATACTATCGTTATGTGTGAGTTTAGGGGACCCAATCCCCACAGTATCCCACAGTCGACATTGGTATAAAGATCTGTCCATCGCAGTTAATGCATCCTAGCGTGTCCATTCCAAATTTGTTCAAGTGCTTCACTCAGATCAGTTGGTAACTCAGGTTGTGTGCCTTGTGCGAAGACGATATGGACCGTGCAACATGATGCCGCGTGAGTCAGCAAATTCTACGTAGATGCTCAAGTAATGAATCTAAGTCTCTAGGTGACCAATGAGTCTTTCTGGTTGGTGGTTTCACCCCCTCTGAAAAATATTAGTCAATGGGAGGGATCATCCGATATATTATGGAAAATAAAACATGCTTGAAACCACCAACCAGCTTTTAGTATGTTCAACATATTTCACTCGTATTGGGCGGCCGTCTGCACCGCATGCTGCCCCCTTGGGACGTACGCCAAGACACATCATGTTGATGCCATTCCTGACGAGTCATGCTGAGGGCGGATAGGATTCACAGGATGCACTGAGGAAGGTCCTAGCAGAATATGAAAATCTGAAAGTGAAGTTCTGAACTGGGATTGTCACCACAGTTTGAGGGGAACATATGACGGTTTGCCAAAATGTATGCTCCTGGTTTGGTTGATCAATCGTAAGTCCTTTCGTTCCGCTTGTTTGGTCTTTAAAACCATGACTTACCTAAATAGTCTGAGACCCTGGATTTTATCTTTCATGTTTGAAGCCGTAGCTAAAACCTGCAGTAAATGCTAACGTGCGTCTATATGACGTGGGTGCCGCTGCTAAGTCATTAGTGAAAGAACTGGAATATCTGCAGGGCTTGTCGTTGCCTTGCTGTCACTGCTGCTTTTGTCAAAGATACAGATAAACTACAAATTCTCTGGTGGCGACTGGGTCACGGGTCAACCAAAGCCGTTTTTTGAAACTTTTGCTAGCGCATTTCTAGCGGGGGTCTAGAGGGTAAAATTACGTACAAATTCGCAAAATTGAGCCGCAACCTCAAACATATAAGAAAATTGTTGAGTAGCACCGAAATTCACTACTGTAAGACATCCTTAGGTTCAAGGAGCTAAGAGATACATCTTGAGTTTTCTTCATGTTGAAATAACAAGCAAACAGGAACACACCAAAAATCCTTGAACATGGGTCTGAAAAAAAAACGCAAACCTAGCGGGTTTGGCGCTGCCTTGCAGAATTGGTGAATTGTTGCGTGCCGCCTGATAACGAAGAGGAAAAACAATAGGTCCACACTAATATACAATAATTATCAACAACTGAGACAAAACTTATGTCAACTATTTTTGGCAAATGGTCAAATGGAAACTCTAGATAATATGAGAACCACCAACGCCCGGTCGGGCCGTTCACGCGCGCCGACAGGCGCCATCATCTATGAGAAAAATATGCACAATGTGTCAACCTTGGATGAAATTTGATTTGCTGCAACACTATCATGACACAGTTTTTCACCCTCAGGGCAGCCAGGCATTGTCTTTGGCCAGGTCGTACATGTCAGCTGGCTGAAGTCCTATCTTGTTTTTTTCGGTCTTTGCAGTATTCTGCAAAGGCCATCAACAGAGTCATCAAACCTGGTTTCTCCAGGAAGAGTGTATAGCATAGCAACACGTATGTCACTTCATGTACATGAACCATGAGGAACGTAGCAGCAAAAGGATCAACATGAATGTCACTGCATGAAGATGAAACATCAACAGCGTTATCATCGTCCCCCCCCACCCCCCGGAAACCCCCCAAGCAATGACCAGCGTAGCAACATGAATGTCACTTCATGAAGAGCAAGCACCAAAGAACGTTGTTTGCCCCACTCCACCCCACCCCACTCGAAACACTGACGTACGTGGTATGAAATGCACACAAACACACCGTGCCTCTGGGAGGCGCGTTCAAAAAAGTGTGCTTTTTCAGCCCGACCGAGCCACCGCCAAACCAAATACGATCTATCTTATCTATCACATAACAAGAAACGAGGTACTACCAAGTTAACGTCCTCATAACAAGTGCCTAATGGCCACCCAGTGAATTCTGCATTTGGCAGTTGAAAGAGTGGTGCCCACCTCACTCTCAAAGAGATACACCATGTATATTCCTGCACGTGCTTGTTTGGAAAGGCCAAAACAAGCACTCATATAAACATGTGATACTGCATACATTATATATTATTATTATATATATATATATTGTATATATATGTATATCATTATATATCTATGTATTAGTTATAGTTATATGAGTTATATGTATCCTTATATGTTATAAACCTGTTCTTGAGGTGTTTCAAGCTGATCCATGACAAATGCCCACTGCGATTCTCCTAAAAACTGGGCCTTCGAACTTTGAACCCAACAAACAATGTGGCAAAATTCAATTCTGTTCATGTTCAAACGAAGTCTTATACTGGTTGGTGGTACCCCTCTGAAAAATGATGGAGTGAGTTACAGTTGGGATGATGAAATTCCCACCATATTCCCAATATGGAAAGTCATAATCCAGCCATGTTCCAGTCACCACCAACCAGCCATTAACCATAATTAACCATCGTACTAACCATCATTAACCATGTTCGGCCACGTTCCAAACCACCAGGGTCACCAGTAGCATGTTGCAACCAGATCCTCAGATCTCGAGTCGCACCAAGGATCCAAGTGATGGCCTGGAGGTAGAGGGCAGACACGAGGCAAGCTGTAGAAATACCGTAGGCCACCACCACCACCACCTGACTCGAGCCGTGCATTGGCAGAACTCGAATCAAAACGCCAGAAACGGCAAGCAAATTCTGCATTTAGGTACCTTGAGAATCCTCAAACCTTAAAACGCTGGTGTCTGGTATAGGCGCTTGAATTGAGAAGGGATCCTTGGCTGGTAGACTTCTGATATCTCAATCCTGGAGCTCAAAGATATGTCAGGAAAAGTCATGCAATCATCTATCGTCCGCAAATGTCCGCAATTTGCACTTCAGACATCAGACCAATAATCATTCCTACCAGGGTTGATATGCAGTACCCATTTATGGCAATATCGGGGAGGGTTTATTCTTGGGTTTACCACATAGCTTTCAACAATTCATCAAAAAGAACAGTAGGTGGCAGTCACCAGCGCAACCCAACCCCACAAATCGCAGCCCAAAAAACGTCGTGGCTCGCAGGGCTCTCCATGTTCAAATCTTCGGCGCTTGCCCTGTAGACCAGCCAAAATTTGAGGCCGACAATGCCCAGCCATAAGACACCAGCTTTCCTGAGAAATTGGAGTTTGAGGCTCGTAAATCCCTTTTTCGGAGTGGGCCAAATGGATAGAAATGCGTGGATCATCCATGATTGATTTCTTACTTGATGGTTTATATATAAACCATAAACCATACATAAGGGGATATTAATTCCATATGATATTCTGATATTCCATATGTAATTAAAACTGGCCCTTCCAAAGGTGACCCCACTGGAACATTCCAAAGGGTTTTCATTGGGATCATCAAGCCCAAAACAAACTGAGCAGCTTAGGTGCTAAAATCATCTAAAATCCATGGCTTATGACATGTAAATCAGAAGTTTTCCATGGTTTTCCAAAGCAGAACAGTCCAAAACCAAGGCTTTCACTCAGAGGTTTTCACGGAGAACTCAGCTCCAAAAGACGAGCGACAAAGCAAACTTGATCTGGTTCCAGCGCCAGTGATCAGACAAGCCTCGTCAGCTGAGGTCAGCTGAGGTCAGTGCAACATGGACCCTGACATGGTCCAGTTTTTTCATGTCCAATGGTTAACCGGTTAACCGGTTAACCACGAACCTTTGCATGTGCCATGGACTGCCCAATACTGAGAAAGGCATTACCTTGTTTCCCACGTTTCCCCGTAAATTCTCAAGTGATGGATGCTACAGCGGTCGTTAGTCCGTCCAATTTTTGGGAACCCCGTGTGACACAGTGTGTATCCCTTGATGAGTAAAATGCAAATGTTATCAAGAAAAATGCAAATGCTTGCTGTGTGGTACTACTGAACAACATCAGAAAGGGAAACACTACAGTATAGGAGTATAGATCTGATATAGTACTATATTATTATGGTCTGGCGCTGTCTGCCTGCGTGCCGATCTCTGACTCTCTACCAGTCATGTATACACAAAATACACACGCACATACCTGTAAACTGAACGGTCCCAAATGAATGTCCACGGCATCTTTTGTACGCAAAAACACCCGTTTCAGAAAACAAACCAGAATCATCGAACAAATTCAAGCTATGGAATTCAGATGGCAATAATAATTTCATATTTCTACCCTGGTATTGCCAATACTTGTTGAAAAACATGGATATATAAATGCAATCAAACCGGTGGAAGTTGGGTTTCCAACAAGCAAATCAACACAAAACGCCAATTAAACGCCAAAAAAAATGTTTGCAGAAGGGGATCGTTGAAACCATAATTCCCTCTCAAACATCCACTTACTTGAGCAAGGGGCTTAAACATGACGGACCTGGAATCACTTTCTAAGTTTCGCTCCTGAATTCGATGCAATTCACATCATAGCTGCTAAACCCAGGGTGTGGTGGTGCAACCTGATGCGGTCGACTATATGAGGGGATTACAATAAACAAGAATTGCTGGAGAAAATGCAACCACAGTAAAAACAACATATAGCTGGTTGGTGGTTTTAACCGATTTTAACCATCTTGAAAAATATGAAAGTCAGTTGGGATGATGAAATTCCCAATATATGGAAAATAAAAGCCATGTTCCGAACCACCAACCAGAGGCATGTTGGTTCCAAACGAGCAAACAAATAAGTGACCTTTCGAGGAGATCGCCGGTTCCCCACCTCCCGTCGCCATGAAGTTCTCCAAATAGGACTGAGGCGCAGCCGTGGATGACGACGGAGGGGCTCTTTGACGTTAGTTGATGTTAGGCACTGTTCATGGATGTTAATGTTCATGGTTAACTCAATGCATGCGATTAGCCAATAATTTGATGGTTTATTAATGATGGTTAATGACAACAACTAACGATGGTCATGTATGATTGTTATCAATAACAAAAGCTTTGCATATCGACGATCATAGATGGATGGTTCATGGCAATTTAATATAATTTAATGATATTTAATGATGGTGCGGTTCATCTTCGCCATCTGCTGCGGTTCATCTTCGCCATCTGCCGTCTTCTCAGTGGGGTTCAGCCAAGTTGCCATCAAGGCTGCCTGTTCATCTTGCGTCTCGTTGTTCCTGGCCGCCATGGCCCATCTGCATGGCCAAATCCGCAATGGAAAATCCATGGATGTTTCCATACCAACATTTATATAAAATGATCCTGTGGATAAGGAAACAAATGACCATCAACGTTTTAGGGCACCTTTTTCGGAAAACCACATCTTGATCCTTCTACATGAACCGGTTTTGTTTATTGTTATAGTGCTGGCTTGATAATGGTGCTGGTTGAATTACCATGAGTGTTTACCGACCCCTATAATCATCCCATATATCTGATCGTTAAAACCTGATCAAACCGGCAAAAGAAAAAACTCTAATTCCATCTGGTTGATATTTTTAAGACTGTGTTCATGCTGGTTATCACACTAATGCCAAACAATAAGCAAGCGGGTTCTTTTGACTCCACTGTCGAATCCGAGCTTATTAAAAAATTGGCTATTTTCAGGGTCTATGTTTATTTACCAGAGGGTAATTCCATCTGGTTGATATTTTTAAGACCTTATTAAAACATATTAAAACCCACTGATGCTGAAAACTTACCCTTTTTTTCTGCAGCAAAAATCGCCTCATGGGACCAGTGAGGCAGAGCACCAACGCACCCAGCGAAACGCTCACCGTGGTGGCTAAGGCCACAGAGACGGTCCTGGAACCATCTGGAACGGTGGAGAGCTGCGGATTTCACCAAGGACATGTGGAGAATGGTGATGTTTATGGGAAACAATATGAAACAATCACTGGTTGGTGGTATACCTACCCCTCTGAAAAAATATGAAAGTCAGTTGGGATCATTATTCCCAAAATATGGAAAAATAAAAAATGTTCCAAACCACCAACCAGATCATGTACCAGAAGCAAATCCAAACCTAGACATGGGGGACTAAGCATGGAAAATGGGAGGGGCTTAGGAGGAACAAAAGGGATTTATCATGACATTTATTGGTCGACATAATAAATCCAAAGCCATAATCCATGCAAAATTTGACCATGAGTGGCTTTCTAGAACCATTCAAGTTTGGAGCTTCATGGCGTTGGGTTTACCCAAAAAGGGAGATTCACGAGACCGAAATGGCGACAAACAAAATAATAGGGATATGGTTGATATGGTTTCAAATATGTCGCTATATAAAATGACTATAGGCATATTTTATCTATACGTGATTTCTGCGATATTCTGGGTGACAACGAAGGGAGAAAAACATATGCTGTAAATATATATATATGAACCGGGAGAGGTTCATGCAATGGATAGCTTTTGGGACAAACTTACAGGAAACTTTTTGTACTGATACCTCTATAGGGTCATTTAACGGTTTGCCGCGGAAACTCACCATCTTGATATAATGAGTACATCATCTATAAATCGCCCATTTTCCATAACTTTGTTAAACTATCTACTGGAGGGTAAGAAAAAAATCATGCAAAGCTCCCCTTCAACCAGTCCAAGGTACGTGGGGTTCCATATTCCAAAGGTCTGAAATCATCCAGGAATCTTGACAGCTCAGTTACTACTGTAACGAATGGTGAACGGAGGAAGACTTCTGTCGGCACCAGATTCATTGTGCAAATAGCATAAAAGGGATGGTTACTCAAAGTTGAACCTGCCTAAGATTTTACATGGGGTCATAACCCTGTTGATTTTGAGGTTATCGAAAAAGAAAAGGCTCTTTGGACCCCAGCTTTGGCAAGTTAAAAGAGTTCAAAGAGCCTTAGAAGCTCCATTTTTGCTAATTTTACTCCTAAATACTCCTAAACCATCCAACTTGTTGGGTATCTCCAATTTCTAAATGGGAAACAATTTCTACACTTATTCAAGTAAGTGGACTAGTTAGTACAGTAGCAGCACCAGGATAAAACGCTCTAACGTCTCCTCAAACAAAAGGGATTACAGCCCAGCAGAGGCTATTCCTCCGCAAACATCCGCAGGCCAATTAAACTAAAAATATGTCTGCAAAAAAAGACCACAAGTTTCTGACAGGGTTGACATATGTTGACGTATGTCGACGTGCATTTGCAAAATCATATCTATCACTTATGACTTATGCCTAAATTTGGATGGTCACCACTATCCAGAGATCGTGAGTCTCCTGAAAACTCCCCGGGCAAAGTTTTTTTTCACCAAGGAACCACCACGCAGTGAGGAGGCTGCAAACCAAGCTGGCGACATGCAGAAGAATTGTGAACCTCACGAGACTCACCCCACAACTCACCCTTGGCTCTTGAACTCACAACCTTGGCTCTTGAAAAGTGCCTAATTTTGTAGCACTACTATCAGCAATATATTGGTAAAGCAATCATAAACCATCGGACAATAATAACCATACATGAGTGCTATAAAGGCTATAAACCATTTTAAAAAAAACAGGTGGCCTATTATTGCTTTCTAATATTATAACACTATTGTGTGGTCCTGGAATCTGGAAGTACCATGTCCATGTTTGGACTGAAATTGAAATAATTCACCAACCGGAAATGAAATCATTTTGTGAGGCTTCCCCTTACTGAACATCACTGAAATGTTGAGGTCCTTCTGACGTCCTGCTAGTGACTAGTGATAATTCATGATAATTAACAATTTAATTGGGGGAACACACGTGAACTTCGACAGAAAGTGCCATTCAGGTTTGTCGACGGAAAGTCATGGTGCCCCTAATTTTCATGGATTTCCGCATTTCCACCTCCCATCCCGTCACCATCCAGGCCACCAGCAATAGCACTTGGAGACTCTCCGTTGCGCGGAGGATGTTTCCTCGAAATTCGAGGTCGCTTCCCAGACATTCAGGGACACCCAAGGTAAAGAACCCGTGAGGCGAAGAAGGATGCTGAGGATCAACAAGCAGCATCCTGGGGGATGATCTGGGGCTGGGGTGATCTTGGATGCTGGGCGCTTGCAATGTCAACCCTGGAGGTTGCTACCCTGGATTTTCAGTACCGCCTCAACTAGTGATCATCTGTTAATGCGAACCCGGGGTTTGAGAGATCAAGGTTTACAATATATGATGGTTGAGGCTCGAGGTAGCGGTAGCTGTGGCCCCAGTTAAGGTCCACCAGTTTTTACTATATGTTGTAAGTTGGCAGGTTAAAAAGTCTTTACTCAACTGTTTGGTGAAAAGAAATGTTTCCCATCATGAAGTGCCATACAATAACATACAATAATAAATGTTATTCATATAATAAATGCCGATAAATAAACCATTTAATGAGGCGCCATGTGTAGTCCACGTTTGGGGCATTGCTCTATGATAGGATTGGTTGGGGGATAAGGCTCTTGGTCGACTAACTCTTGCAGAAATGGGAGGCAGGAAACTGTTCTGCAAACCTCTTGTCGTGAAATATCCCTTTTCCACATCACCAAACCATTGGGAGCATGATATCCCAACATCCATTGTGAATCATTCAAGGAATTCTCTGTTTGCCTAAAGTGGGACATTCACCAACCCCTGCTTGCAACAGTGAGCAGCCAAATATTGCCACGCTGGTGCGCAAGTAAAAAAATGTGTCAAACACACCACCAACCTACGTGGGGGCGCGTCCCAGTTAGTAAATAATTTATTGCCCATATCTAGTCCATATATCCATTAATTAGTGTAGCTGGCATTTTTCCTAAGATTATTACCCCAGGATCGTACATGGGATGCGCTTCCAAGTTATACATCAACCATCTGACTCAGGCTACAACTGGAAATGATTCACCCCGTCCAAGCATCTGGAAAGCAAAGGTGCGGGATTCTCCTGTTAGAGAAAGACCGCGGCAGGCCGTGACAGGTAAATGGGCATCATCATCATCATCATCATTGTCATTGTCATCATTGTCATTGTCAACATTGTCATCATCATGATCATCACCATCATCATCATCATCAGCGTCATTGGCATTGTCACCAGCAGCGTCGTCGTTGTCGTCGTCGTCGTCGCCGTCGTCGCCGGCGTGGTCGTCGTTGTCGTCGTCGTCGTCGTCGTCCTCGTCGTCGTCGTCGTCGTCCTCATCCTCGTCGTTGTCGGCGTCGTCGTCATCGTCATCGTCAACATCACCAACACCATCATCATCATCATCATCACCATCATCAAAATCATCATCATCATCATCAAAATCATCATCATCATCATTGCCATTGTTTTCGTCATTGTCATCATCATTGCAATCATCATCGTCATCATCATCATCATCATCACCATCACCATTGTCATCAGCATTGTCACCAGCGTCGTCGTTGTTGTCCTCCTCGCCGCCGTCGTCGTCGTCGTCATCATCATCATCATCACCATTGTCATCAGCATTGTCACCAGCGTCGTCGTCGTCGTCGTCGTCGTCGTCGTCGTTGCCGTTGTCATTGTCATCGCCAACTTAACCATCACCAGCATAATAATAATAATCATCATCATCATCATTGCCATCGCTTTCGTCATTGTCATCATCATTGTCATTATCACCATCATGGTCATCATCATCGTCGTCCTCGTCATCGTCATTGTCAACCTCACCATCACCATCACCATCATAATAATAATCATAATAAAAACAATAATCATCATCATCAAGATCCTCGTCATCATCAACATCATCATCATCATCATCATCGTCATCATCCTCATCATCCTCATCCTCATAATCCTCATCATCCTCATCATCCTCATCGTCCTCATCATCCTCATCATGATCGACTCATCATCTTCATGTTCATCATCCTCATCATTTTCATCACCCTCATCATCATCATCATAATCATCATCATCATCATCACCATCATCATCATCACCATCATCATCATTGTCATTGTCATCGTCATCGTCATCGTCATCATCATGCTCCTCCTCCTCATCATCATCACCATCGTCCCCAGTCATCATGTTCATGTGACAACATCTAGTAGTATCTATGTTGGTGTGTAGATTATCATGGACAGTCAGAAATTCATTTGAACAACAAATGACACTACCAACTACCAACCAGGATCAGCGAATGGTATTGAATGATTGATTGTTTTTTCTTTGCCTGTGGCAAGTTTTCCTGCCACTGCCAGTGAGTTTCGTTTTTTTTTTAGAAAATTGATTGGTTCGAAAGTTCGAAACTGGGGCAGCCCTGAAATCCAATTGTTTATAATCACTTCCCCCCTTGAACTTGTTATAGTATAATTTCATATAATTTCTATTTTGTTAAACAGTTATATTTGGGGGGCATTTGGACTGTAATTATGCCTCATCATCGCTGGTGAATCATTAGGGTTTCTATGAACATTTCCATGAATTGAGGGTAATTATACCCCACGTTCTTGAGACAAACCGATCCTCCGATAATCAAACATGGCAATGGAAAATCCATGAAAATCCCTGAAAGTGATGATTCTCCTATTAATCAATGGCCACTTTATAGAGGATTTCCCAGCCAGCCATGATTGATTAATGAAGGGTAAATGATTCGAGGACTGAAGGCTGCCGAGGGACGTCCCCGTCTTCAGTGGTTGGCCTGCCGTGTTCAACCGCTTCATCTTCCACATCTTCCACGCTGTAGCGAAAGAAAAACATAAACTTGCCATACATATCCATAAAACATTTTTCCCAGCATTTTTGAATAACGCCACTTTTGCTACAGCACCAGGCAGTTACATCCTGTCATATCCTGACCATTCCTGACCCATGTCGCGGCACATGGGGGAGCAAGTCGTGTTTGTCTTGGTCTTGGGCATCAGCTCCGTTGCGCGATTTTTGAAGAGCGCCGACATGGACATTTCGCTGTCAGGATCTACCTGGCAGGCTGATCGCAATGGGTTGGTGGTATACCTACCCCTCTGAAAAATATGAGCCAATGGGAAGGATGACATCCCATATATTATGAAACCACCAACCAGCAATAAGTAGCAATAACTAGAACAGGACATCCGGGATGTTTGATGATTTTTGTCCAAAAAACATACAACAAGGACCATTCATAGCCGTTTAACAAAAGTAAGAGTGTAAATGGTGATTTAAGCGCTTCGAATTGGAACAAAACATGACAAAGCCAGCAACAAGGCTTTGATTTTTGCTAGTGGCCAATGTTTGACCAGCATCATGAATTGCAAATACTTGAGGAGAAACAAACTCAAGCATGATCATTCTGGAATATCTAAGAATTGCCGAATTCTGCACTTAGGAAGTGAAACATATACAACTATCAAATTCTGCCGGTCATTTTATGTCGCTTTGGTCATTTGGAGATTTCCCAGGCCCTGGGGTACCTGGGGTACCTGGTACCTGGTCCGTCCAGGTGAAACATGGTGAAACCAAGGCCATGCGCCTTGCTTCTCAAATCACTGAACTCCAACCTGCCAGGGCGTTCCGATTTTGTCCCGCACAGGTTTTTCGAGGTTTTTTTGTTGTGTTCCTATCGTAGTAGTTGAAAGGTATACGAGGTATCTGGGTAAATTACCAGAAGTCGCTAAAGAGGCAAGATTGGGACAAGATCCAGTGAGGTCGTTAGAACGCCCCTTCGCCCCTTCCAATCCCGGGACGTTCTATGCCAGAGCCGTGGACGGCACCTAGTTGGGTCATGTTAAGGGTAAATGGTGATTATTTAATCCAGTCACATGACATCATTGGGCACATGCTATGATAATATATTGTGCATCAACATGCACAAACCCTGGATTGTTTCCAACAAAGTTGCCCACGGTGGAGGAATGCGTCCTCATGTTACTTCCGTCCATTTCACCTTGGCACCCTCAGCATCCCAAGAAATTACATAATCACATATAATCACACTTATTAAATCGCCAGTCTTTTAAGGGTTTTGGATGTGCAGTAATGTCAATTCATTTCATGGTTTTTCATAGAGGGCACCTCTTCAGTTTTAGCTCTTCAAAATCTTCTCTGCTTGGTGGTTTCAACCCCTCTGAAAAATAATTATGAAAGTCCGTTGGAATGATTATTCCCAAATATTATGGAAAAATAAAAGCCATGTTCCAAACCACCAACCAGTTCTCTTCCGAGCAGCCCTCCCCTGAGAGCTTTTGGCTCATCCGAAGGCTCTTGAGGCTTCACCGAGAACTTCCCAGCAAAGTGCCTTGTGGCGAGGGCGACCAAGGAGCCCTGGCTGATCCATATCTAAGCATATCTGGATGACATATGTTTCACATATGTTTCACTAATTAACAAAACTTTGTCTGAAAAATTGCATCTTGTAATCAATCCCGAACATGATTCTTGTTCTTGTAAATTCTTGCCGTTTTCCGGCCAGAAAACCAACCCGCAATAATTCAATCTCATGCCCCTGTCAAGCTGCAGGAAGGAGTTGTTGCGGGAAGCGGGGGGCGTGAGTTTCGAGGAGAGACTGCGGGAGGCGCTCCTTGGCTCTTCGTAGGACGGAGCTGAAACAAGACATGGGGATGAACGGGATGGGGATAGCACTGGGAAAAACAAAACAACAATAATTATGAATGGTGATATATGATATATATATAATATATATAATATATATAATATGTATGTGTATGTGATGAAATGGATTATATGTGAATATATATATATATATATTCCAAATCAAGTTCCGAGATGTTCCGAGTCGTGGATGACTTCACAAATCCATGGAATCCATGGACGATGCTTTCCATGTCGGTGGAAAACATGGAGAACCGTGGTGAAATCCATGCTGTGAAAATGAGGATCTACCACCATGATAGTGCTGTAGCCTTGAAACAAATATGGGTGAAAGCCCGATGATATCGTTACTCTTGGAACCGGACTTGTGAATTGTCTCCACAGCTGCCGCGCTGTGGCCATGCACCAAAATTTAGAAAGTTATTTATCTGCTAGACGTGCTGAAGCGATCAAAGATATCAAAGTTTCAAGCGTTATCAATCATCCTCGAAACATGTAAGAACATGTAAGAACATCATCAGGAAAAGGAGTGTGTTGCAAGAATTGGCAACGTTGCCACTAGTTGACGTAGGTCAATTCACAACTTCCAAAGTAGCTGATCCCTTAGTACCTGGTAAAATCATTGAACCAACCATCAACCTCCAAGAGAATCAACACGTGGATTCATCTGTTGCATGGCCAATTTTTGGACTTCAATCTCCATGTTTTGCCAGTTTCCCCACTTTTACCACTATCATCTGCTCGAAATGTTCCCCAAGTTTGGCGAAGTCAACGGCCATTGGTGGCCCACACCGAGCTTCTCGAAGATCTTGCGGGTTAAACCCCGGCGAAGAATGTTGCCATCCACGCCTCGGCGCTGCGACAATTCAACCACCCGTGACCATTTTGTTTTGTAAATGAACCGTAACATAAACAATCGAGTAATACAGTATCACATAATATGACACAACATCATACAATACAATACAGTACAGTACAATATATATAATATAACAAATTATAATGCATTGCATATTGTAATATATATATATGAGTATGTATATATATATACATGTATGTGCGTGTGAACCATGTTGAACCACCAGCCAGAAATACAATATGACCAACAAGTCAAGCAAACATGATGCGGAACTACACGTAACTCCAGTGTTTCCTGAATTTGGAAAACATTGTACAGCATTGTAAGATCATATAATATCATTGTATGACTATTGCATCTGGCGCATCATATCTTGATTACAATATGCCTTGAGCCAGGGAATAAGATGGAATAAGGTTTTCCCTCGCAAAGGAACCAACTTCAGCCGGCACAACATGGAAGGGATGGCGTCTGTCATCCGCCATGTAGGATTGTAACACCTACCCGACAGGACCTGACTGATTATCCCAAGGAGGAATGGCAAGAACAGGAGATTTCCAAGTGACGAACCATCTTGACACACCATGTAAATATGATGGGCAAACCAATTGATCCGGCAGTTCTCAATGTTTGGGACATTTTGATACATTTTGGGTAGTTCCTCAATGTTGGGGCCCACTCATTGTGGTGTCATTTAAGGTCCTGATTTTCATGGGCCAGAACGCCAACCAACATTGGGTAGTAAATCAGGAAATCCGATGAAACGCCATCTATTGAATCTATTTGATGGTGTCCCCAGTAATTATCAGCTATCGTTGTGGGGCTTGCTCGGCCATGAGGGAAAGAGATACCCTTCAAACCCTCCCAATGAAGAGACACATGCGTCAATCTGCCGAAAAGAATTCCTCAGCACAAAAGATGAGGGGTTTAGCGGCTCAAGAACCGCTGGCCGGGATTGAAAATAACAATATATACATATATAATTATATATATATACAATTTTTGTAATTTATATATATATATACCATATTTGAAAGCCACTCTGTAGTTACTATTTGCCCAACTAGTATTCATGGGGATCCAACCAATATGGTCAATATCAGGCACCACGCAACATGACATGGGTGAATTACTATGGCCTTACAATGGAAATTGATGTACAGTAAATTGCATGTTGCAACCTTGTTCATTGCAGGTTTGCCCATACCGGGCCCATACCTGTGGTATTTGCGGACCGGCATTTTGACACATCAGAAGGCTCTGGGCTTCAACTTCCAGATTCCATGACAGAACTTTTGCAGAATGAAACACAGACTCTCTGAATCCGGGCTGAAATGAGTTGAGCTACGTTGAGTTTCACTAATTTTTTGTTTTTGCTGTTTCGCTAGAGGAATCTCCAGATGCCCCCCTTGGCCCCACAGCAAGGCTCAATGATTTGCTGGCGTTGGGCGATTTATCTCCTTGAACATGGGACAGCAAGCCTCAGCGCAGCTGGGCAGCAGCTCAAACCTGGAAGCTACAGGAACAAACTTGGTCTGTAGCTCAAAAAGGATAGAACAGTCATTCATTCAAATAATGTTAGTATGCCACTATTTAAAAGGGATTGATTATACCGCCGGACTGAAAGTTAGAATGACGCGCCTGCCACCAAAAAAAATCCATTGAAAGTTAGAATGCCCCCCCGAAAATTGTCTTAAAAATTCTACTAATAAAAATGTTCAAAAATTGTTTGATCAAACTTGCCTACCTGTTGTGCCGGGGCCACCAAACCTTTCTCTTTTTGTAGGGTTAGAATGCCTCCGCAGCATATGCCTCCAAAACATCTGAATTCTATATAGATTTTAAATATGATATATATATATATATAAAAATATGTGTATATATATATATATGTATATGTATATATATATGTATATATATATTTATGTATATACTACATCAACCAAATCCCTGAAAAAAGCGGGTCGAGCTATCAAAACCTGGTTTTGAGCTAGTTTCTGCGAAAAAAAACGGCATTTGTCAACAAAACCATGTTTTTGATGAAGCAGCTTCGCCACAACCTCCAGAAAGACCGTCAAAAACCTATAAAAACTCATCAAAACCAATTAAAAACCCGCAAAAAACACCGTAGTCCAAAACCGACCAAAAACTTGGTTTGCCGGGGCCACCAAAACTTGTTTCTTACAGGGTATGCCGCCAAAACTTCTGAATTCTATATATATATATATAAATATATTTTAAGTAGATAAATGAAATCTTGGTCCCCAATGACGGTTGAGAAAAGTACTTACCACAGTTTTGATCATCATCATTTTATGTGTATATACTACATCAACCAAATCCCTGAAAAAAGCGGGTCGAGCTATCAAAACCTGGTTTTGAGCTAGTTTCTGCGAAAAAAACGGCTTTTGTCAACAAAACCATGTTTTTGATGAAGCAGCTTCGCCACAACCTCCAGAAAGACCGTCAAAAACCTATAAAAACTCATCAAGACCCATCATAACCCGTAAAAAACCATAGTCCAAAACCGACCAAAAACTTGGTTTGCCAGGGCCACCAAGCCTTTATTTTTTGTAGGGTTAGAATGCCTCCGCAGCATTTGCCCCCAAAACAGCTGAATTCTATATAGAATTTAAATATAATATATATATAATTATATATATATATATTATATTTATATTTTATATTTATACTTATATTTATATCCTACATCAACCAAATCCCTGAAAAAAGCGGGTCGAGGTATCAACACCTGGTTTTGAGCTAGTTTCTGCGAAAAAAACAGGTTTTAGCCAACAAAACCAGGTTTTTGATGAAGCAGCTTCGCCACAACCCGTAGAAAGACCATCGAAAACCTGTAAAAATTCATCAAAACCCATAAAAACCCGTAAAATACCGTAGTCGAAAACCGTCCAAAAGCTTGGTTTGCCGCGGCTCGAGGTATCAACACCTGGTTTTGAGCTAGTTTCTGCGAAAAAAACAGGTTTTAGCCAACAAAACAAGGTTTTTGATGAAGCAGCTTCGCCACAACCCGTAGAAAGACCATCCAAAACCTGTAAAAATTCATCAAAACCAATAAAAACCGTAAAATACCGTAGTCGAAAACCGTCCAAAAGCTTGGTTTGCCGGGGCCACCAAAGCTTGTTTTTTGTAGGGTTAGAATGCCTCCGCAGCATATGCCCCCAAAACTTCTGAATTCTATCTAGGTTTTGTATAGATAAATGAAATCTTGGTCCCCAATGACGGTTGAGATAAATACTTACCAAAGTTTGATATCATCATCATATATCCTACATCAACCAAATCCCTGAAAAAAGCGGGTCGAGGTATCAACACCTGGCTTTGAGCTAGTTTCTGCGAAGAAAAACAGGTTTTAGCCAACAAAACCAGGTTTTTGATGAAGCAGCTTCGCCACAACCCGTAGAAAAACCGTCGAAAACCTGTAAAAATTCATCAAAACCAATAAAAAACCGTAAAATACCGTAGTCTAAAACCGACCAAAAGCTTGGTTTGCCGGGGCCACCAAACCTTGTTTTTTGTAGGTTAGAATGCCTCCGCAGCATATGCCCCTAAAACTTATGAATTCTATACGTATAGGTTTTAAATAGATAAATGAAATCTAGATGTGAGCAAACGACGTGTTCTTGGATCGGCGGATGACGATATTGTATTTTCTTTCTGCATATGCCATTTTTTAATGATCTTTTTTTTGCTGATCATGAACATGTTTTTTTTGAAAATACCTGCAAATTATGCATATTTATATTTACAATACGATGTTGCATCTTTTCTGCATATTATGATATGTTTTATTGGTCATGGGTAGATTTTTTTGCAATTTACATGCATATTCTGCATATTTGCAGTACATGGAAGACACGGGACGGTCGAAAATGCGTCAAAAAAATTGGAGTTTTAGGGGTTTCAGGACTAAATACCTAGGGTTAGAATGCCCGTCGGGGATTTTCCCACGGTATTCCCTACGACAATGTAAATGTGATTAAACGGAATGGTAACCTCCAAAAACGGCATTATACACAGACGTTATTGCATTTGTCCAATATTCTGTAATGTTTTCATGTCTTTTTTGCTGATCATGATCATGTTTTTGGCAAATACCTGTATATTCTTCATATCTAAATTAACAATACCATGTTGCATTTTTTCTGCACATCATGACATTGTTTATTGTTCATGGAAAGATTTGGTTGCAATGTGCATGCAAATTCTGCATATTTGCAGTACATGGAAGACACGGGACGGTCGAAAATGCGCCAATAATTTTGGAGTTTTAGGGGTTTCAGGACTAAATAAATAGGGTTAGAATGCACGTCGGGGATTTTCCCACGGTATTGCCGACGAAATGAAATGTTGATTAAACAGGATGGTAACCTCCGAAAACGGCATTATACACATGTATACATGCGCTGTATATATTACATATATGTATACATGTACATACATATTAGATGTGAGTAAACGAGGTGTTCTTGGATCGGCGGATGACGATATTGCATTGTTTCTGTGCATATTCTGTGATTTTTAGTGATCTATACTGTTTTGCTGATCATGAGAATGTTTTGTGGCGAATACCTGCATATTCTACATATTTAAAATGCGATATATTGCATTTTTCTGCATATTATGACATTGTTTATTGTTCATGGACAGATTTGGCTGCAATTTACATGCAAATTCTGCATATTTGCAGTACATGGAAGACACGGGACGGTCGAAAATGCATCAAGAATTTTGGAGTTTTAGGGGTTTCAGGACTAAATAAATAGGGTTAGAATGCAGAATGCCCGTCGGGGATTTTCCCACGGTATTCCCCACGATAATGTAAATGTTGATTAAACAGGATGGTAACCTCCAAAAACGGCATTATACACAGACAATGTTGCATTTTTGTAATATTCTGTCATTTTTCGTTGATCATGTTTCTTTTTTGCTGACCATGAGCAAGTTTTTTGGGGCAAATACCTGTATATTCTGCACATTTAAATTTACAATTTACAATACAATGTTGCATTTTTCTGCATATTATGACATGTTTTATGGCTCATGGGTATTTTTTTTGCAATTTACATGCATATTCTGCATATTTGCAGTACATGGAAGACACGGGACGGTCGAAAATTTCGTCAAGAATTTTGGAGTTTTAGGGGTTTCAGGACTAAATACCTAGGGTTAGAATGCCCGTCGGGGATTTTCCCACGGTATTCTCCACCATCCTGAAATGGTGATTAAACAGGATGGTAACCTCCGAAAACGGCATTATACACACACACATATATATATGCGCTGTAAAAATTACATAATATGTATACATGTACATACATATTGGATGATATTAGATGTGAGTAAACGAGGCGTTCTTGGATCGGCGGATGACGATATTGCATTTTTTCTGCATAGTCGGTCATTTTTGATTGATCATGAACAAGTTTTTTTGGGCAAATACCTGTTTATTCTGCATATTGTAAATAACAATACGATGTTGCATTTTTTCTGCATACTATCACATGTTTTATTGGTCATGGGTAGATTCTTTTGAAATTTACATGCATATTCTGCATATTTGCAGTACATGGAAGACACGGGACGGTCGAAAATGCGTCAAGAATTTTGGAGTTTTAGGGGTTTCAGGACTAAATAAATAGGGTTAGAATGCAGAATGCCCGTCGGGGATTTTCCCACGGTATTCCCCACGATAATGTAAATGTTGATTAAACAGGATGGTAACCTCCAAAAACGGTATTGTACACAGACGATGTTGCATTTTTCTAATATTCCGTCATTTTTTATTGATCATGTTTTTTTGCTGATCATAAGCAAGTTTTTTGGGGCAAATACCTGTATATTCTGCACATTTAAATTTACAATTTACAATACGATGTTGCATGTTTTCTGCAAATGTTTACATTGCTTATTGTTCATGGAAAGATTTGTTTGCAATTTACATGCATATTCTGCATATTTGCAGTACAGGAAGACACGGGACGGTCGAAAAATGCGTCAAACATTTTGGAGTTTTAGGGGTTTCAGGACTAAATAAATAGGGTTAGAATGCCCGTCGCGGATTTTGCCACGGTATTCCCCACGATAATGAAATGTTGATTAAACAGGATGGTAACGGCATTATACACACATATATATATATATGCGCTGTATATATTACATAAATGTACATGTACATACATGTTAGACGTGAGTAAGGTGTTCTTGGATCGGCGGATGACGATATTGCATTTTTTCTGCATACTCTGTCATTTTTTATTGATTGTTTTTTTGCTGATCATGAACATGTTTTTTTGCAAATACCTGCAAAAACTGCAAATTTAAATTTACAATTTACAATACGATGTTGCATGTTTTCTGCATATCATGACATTGTTTATTGTTCATGAAAAGATTTGTTTGCAATTTACGTGCGTATTCTGCATATTTGCAGTACATGGAAGACACGGGACGGTCGAAAATGCGTAAAGAATTTTGGAGTTTTAGGGGTTTCAGGACTAAATAAATAGGGTTAGAATGCGCGTCGGGGATTTTCCCACGGTATTCCCCACGATGATGAAATGTTCATTAAACAGGATGGTAACCTCCAAAAACGGCATTATACACAGACGATGTTGCATTTTTGTAATATTCCGTCATTTTTTATTGATCATGTTCTTTTTCTGATCATGAGCAAGTTTTTTGGCAAATACCTGTATATTCTGCACATTTAAATTTACAATTTACAATACGATGTTGCATGTTTTCTGCAAATGTTTACATTGCTTATTGTTCATGGAAAGATTTGTTTGCAATTTACATGCATATTCTGCATATTTGCAGTACAGGAAGACACGGGACGGTCGAAAATGCGTCAAGAATTTTGGAGTTTTAGGGGTTTCAGGACTAAATCAATAGGGTTAGAATTCCCGTCGCGGATTTTCCCACGGTATTCCCCACGATAATGAAATGTTGATTAAGCAGGATGGTAACCTCCAAAAACGGCATCATACACAGATATATATGCGCTGTATATATTACATATATGTATACATGTACATACATATTAGATGTGAGTAAACGAGGTGTTCTTGGATCGGCGGATGACGATATTGCATTGTTTCTGTGCATATTCTGTGATTTTTAGTGATCTATACTTTTTTGCTGATCAGGAGCCTGTTTTCTTGGCGAATACCTGCATATTCTACATATTGACTATACATGATTATACGATATTGCATGTTTTCTGCATATTGTGACATTGTTTATTGTCCATGGAAAGGTTTGGTCGCAATTTACATGCAAATTCTGCATATTTGCAGTACATGGAAGGCACGGGACGGTCGAAAATGCGTCAAGAATTTTGGAGTTTTAGGGGTTTCAGGGCTCAATAAATAGGGATAGAATGCCGTCCCAGATTTTTTTAAGGGGTTTCAGGACTAAATAAATATGGTTAGAATGCCCGTCGAGATTTTCCCACGATATTCCCCACGACAATGAAATTTTGATTAAACAGGATGGTAATCTCTGAAAACAGCATTATACACACATATATATATATGACATATATGTACATTTACAATCATGCACATACATATCAGATGTGAGTAAACGAGGCGTTCTTGGATCGGCGGATGACGATATTGCCTGTTTTCTGCATATTCTGTCAATTTTAGTGGTCATATCCTTTTTTTGCTGATCATGAGCATGTTTTTTTGGCGAATACCTGCATATTCTACACATTTATAGTACGATATTGCATTTGTTCTGCATATTATGACAAATTGTTTATTGTTCATGGAAAGATTTGTTTGCAATTTACATGCATATTCTGCATATTTGCAGTACCATATGCATGGAAGACACGGAACGGTCGAAAAATGCGTCAAACATTTTGGAGTTTTAGGGGTTTCAGGACTAAATAAATAGGGTTAGAATGCCCGTCGCGGATTTTCCCACGGTATTCTCCACGATAAGGAAATGTTGATTAAACAGTATGGTAACCTCCGAAAACGGCCTTGTACACACATATATGCGCTGTATGTATGTACAATTACAACCATGTACATACATATCAGATGTGAGTAAACGAGGTGTTCTTGGATTGGCGGATGACGATATTGCATTTTTTCTGCATATTGTGACATCTTTTATTGATCATGGATAGATCCATTATTTTTCATTGGTTTTTCGTTATTTTGACGATGTGTTTCATTATTTTTCATGTTTTTTTTTCCTAATTATATGGTACAACCGAAAGTTATATTGCCACCCTGGTGGAAAGACATGGATTTCAAGAAAAAGCCCGGGAGGCATTCTAACCTTATTTATTTAGTCCTGAAACCCCTTAAAAAAATCCGGGACGGCATTCGGTGATCTTTCAGTATTTTGAAGATGTTGTTCATTATTGTTCAGTGATTTTTGTTTTGAAGATTGTTTTCATTGAATCTAATTATTTTGAAGATGTTAGTTCATTATTTTTCAATGATTCTTCATTATTTTCAAGATGTTTTTAATTATTTTTCATTTATTGTTCAATGCGTTTACATGTTTTTCATCCTGTTTCATTGATTTTTCAATGTTTTTAAGATGTTTTTCATTCTTTTTCATTGTATTGTTGGGTAGATTTCATGCATATTTTGCATATTTGTAGTACATGGAAGACACAGGACGGTCGAAAATTCGATATTTTGGAGTTTTGGGGTCTTCAGGGCTACATAAATGGGGTTAGAATGTCGTCCCGGATTTGTTTAGGGGTTTCAGGACTAAATAAATAGGGTTAGAATGCCTCCCAAATTTCTCACGCGGTACGCGGAAATGGATATCTAAATCCACTTGCCGCCACCAAATGGGCATTCTAACTTTCAGTCCGGCGGTATACATGTTGTTTTTTGGGAAAGTTGGGAAAATCTGTTTGACTGATTACTAGATGTTTTGCCCAGATTTGCCTAGTCGACATCATCCCATGAAAAAATACCCTGGCACCGCGGCACTCACGCGATTCGTGCGTCGAAAGTTGGGGATCTCGATCTTTCCACCGCCAGGCTCTGTCACAGTGGCCTGGCCACTTCCCCAAGGCGAAGTGGATTTTTTGGCCCAACATCTTTTCCGTATTCACAGGAGCATTCTGAATGGAAATCATATACATCCAATTACATTGCACATTTGCTAGCATAATAATATGTATGTATGTTTATATACATTTAGATATTAGAGACAGGGAGAGAGAAAAACGAAATGGCCTTGTGTGCATCATAGTATCCAGCAATATCCCGGGTTCATCGCCAACTTTATTGAATCCAACAAGTGTTAAGCGTATTGGAATGAAAACTAGCTCCCCTGGGCCCCAGACCACTGAAATCTTGCGCAGAGTTTTCAAAACAACCCCACACGCAAGATTCAACATGTTTGAAACTAAATCCGGGAAAACATGTTGCTTCTCCATGTCAATGTTTGTTTCAGTCGGACTATGTTCCCAGCTTTCATTGATCACATACCTGATCTGCTGGCTTAGCCACCATTGCTGATGGCCACTCTCCGTTTCGTGTTTCAATATGAACCACGGGAAGCATGGGCTGCTGGTTTCAGATATCAATGTCATCCCAACACAAAGGTGGTACGATGATCGCCTTTTTGAGTGGCTCAAATTCAACTGAGTGGCTCAAACGCCAAGGAATCTACTTCTGGTTGGTGGTTTCAACACCCAAGAGCGATATCTTTAGAATCAGCATCCTCAACACATGTTCCAAGACAACACCCCGCATCAGCTATGTCTGGTTGGATATAGCTACCCCGTTCCCGCCAGAAAATGAAACCACCAAGGGCCAGCGAGGTAACACGTCACTGGGGACAACTGGGTTTATAACTGACGGTATTGTGCATGTACAGTATATATATATATGTATCTGCATGTGTAAATTTCACATTTGTATGTATAAAACAAAAATGCAGAAAAGCACAAATAGGTAAATGTTCATATGTATAAATCTATACACATATGATAGTGCAGAAAGATAGGTAAGGAGATATATCAATAGATAAACAGATAGATAAATCGATAGATAGATAGAAGGATACATAAATAAATAAATAGAAAGATAGATAGACAGAATGATAGATAAATAGATTAGATAGATAGATAAATAGACAGATAATAGATACATATTTAAATAGATATACATATATATATGCATATATATATGCACATATATATATATGAATCTATATATATATAGATGCATATACATATATATATATATGCATACATATATATATATATGCAAATATATATGCGAATAGATATGCAAATAGATAAAAAAACATATAATCAGATAGATGGACAGATAGATAGATAGATAGATAGATAGATAGATAGATAGATAGATATAGATATAGATATAGATAGATATAGATAGATATAGATAGATATAGATAGATATAGATAGATATAGATAGATATAGATAGATATAGATAGATATAGATATATATAGATAGATAGAGATAGGTATAGATAGATAGATAGATAGATAGATATATATATATTTAAAGATAGATAGATATTTATAGATAGATAATTTTAAATATTTATAGGTAGATAGATAGATTAGATAGATAGATTAGATAGATAGATATTTATAGGTATTTAAAGATATTTGTAGATATTTAAAGATAGATAGATAGATAGATTGATAATTGATTAGATAGATAGATTAGATAGATAGATATTTATAGGTATTTAAAGATATTTGTAGATATTTAAAGATAGATAGATAGATAGATAGACAGATAGATAGATAGATCGATAGATAGGTAGATAGATAGGCCGACACCAGAGACAATGGAGATAGATAGATAGATAGATAGATAGATCGATAGATCGAGTAGATAGATAGATTGAGTAGATAGATAGATCGAGTAGATAGATAGGTAGATAGATAGATAGACAGACAGATAGATAGATAAATAATTAGGTAGATAGATAGATAGATAGATAGAAAAACTAAGCAAATGATCCTTGTGGGAATTTACCTGCTCACATTGACACCTGATTTTTTGGACAAAAACAGCCACCTTGACCTGCTGAAATGGCTAGGATTCCTGGGTCTGACAGCCTCGAAAAAATCATGACCCAAGCAACAAATACAAAACTGGTTGGTGGTATACCTACCCCTCTGAAAAAAAAATGAGTTAGTCAGTTGGGATGATTATTCTCAATATATGGAAAAATCAAAGCCATGTTCCAAACCACCAACAAGAAAACAAATACAAAAGCAATTCTGCGCGTGGATGCCACAAAACATTTGAAATTTGTTCTCAATATTGTAGTTTGTTTGACTCGTCTGTGGTACAAGCGATGGCCGGCGCACAACAGCAGTCTTTGCAAATGTCAACAATTCCAAAGGCCTGGCAATAATTAGCCCTCAAAAAGGATGCCCCTACCAAAAAGAACAGTTTTGTTTGGGACAACTCGGGCCGTCTGATTCTTTGAAGGAAATTCCAAGTGGGATAAACACAGCATATGAGAGATATACATAATATATAATATAATATACAGTAATATATAAATTACATACGTGGATGATCGATGATGGTTCACCCCCATGGCTCAGCGGACACCTTCATCTCCGGTTCGGACTCTGACCTCGCGCGCGTCGCAACCAGCGGCTCACTACCCAGATTGGATACAGCTGTTGAAATGTATGGTCCGTTACATATATATATATGTGTGTGTGTGTGTGGCAAGAATAATTGTTATTATATATGTATATATATATTAAAAAAAGCCTATAGCAAGAAAAACATATGCGCAATATTCTGCATATACTTGTAGGAATAAATGATAATTAATGTAAGTGATGATACTGATTATATGAAAATGACAAATCGTGATGCCCATGTGATGCACGCCCCTCTCCAAGCCTCAACGAGTGCGATGACTTCTTCGACTGCCAGGACTTCTTCGGCAGTGTCCCGCGTAAAGTGTTCACCGGACTAGTGTCACAGGCACTGTGCTGCAACCTCTAACGGCCAGACGGCGGCGAATCCACAACAACTCGCATCAAGTGGAGCTTATAGTGATTCAATTCATGCAGTAAATCATATATATACATATATATATGTGTGTGTGTGTCCATGTAGTCAATATAGTTATATATCCATATATTCAATATGTCTGTCTCTGCATCGCCATGGGGATCATTACCATCTCGGGGATGATCCACATATTTTTTTACATTGAAATACGCAGCAGCCAAGTAAGTATAGCTTATCAAAATCAGTTACCCTCTGGTAAATTAACATAGACCCTGGCAGATAGGGGTTGGAAGACAAGTTTCCATTAAAAATTGGTGATTTTCAGGGTCTATGTAATGTTTATTTATCAGAGGGTATATCATGTTATGTCCCCTTGATTCTAGATGACATATGATGACATCGCAACCTTTGATTGATCAAATCCCTACGCCAAAGCACAGGGTGCTGACGTTGTTGTGTACCGCCTGCAGTTGGGCACTCAACCTGCGCCAAAAAGACTCGCTCGCATTCCAAGCACCCACTTGTGTGAACATTGAACCTACTTTGGCTTTTGGCAAATTTGGATCAACACCTATATATTTATATATATAATGATAATATATTATAGAATCTATTGAATTTCGGGGGAGATGAAGATCCCCCACCTGTTTTGACCCTCACGCAGCTCTCGGCAATAGATGAGAAGCTGAGGGAGCTCCGAGGTGCCTTGCAGGAGTCGGGTCAGAATCAGCGAAAAACGTCGTCTCTCTCCCAGTCAGTACAGCTATCATCCTTAACAGTAGAAAAGTAGCTTATGATAATGCTATATATATATGTACATATATGATCATATATATATATAGAATTGAATAGTTATATATATAATGATATAATGATATAATGATATAATATATAATGATATGCAATCATAGTTTTTGGAGTTATACATCCCATTTATAACTGTTGAAAAATGCCACACGTGCAATTTAATATTTTCTCCAAAAAAGTGCTAGAAAGTGAATGGAATCAATACCGAAGCAATGATTCTGGGTGCTGCTTTTCTAATCTAACCTCTGTGAAAACAATTACCACCATTCATAATAGCAACAGGAACAAGAACCTTCTGGATTATTTTTGGAAAAACAAGGCCAGTTTGGTGTGCAAAGGGTCACGCCATTTACACGTTTTTTATCGAAAGGAAATTAACGGTACATTTTACAGGAAACCAGGGCTTCTACCATTACTAGGGCTTTCCTGTAGGTTTCCCCTTCAATCAATTCTGGTAGTTAGAAAAGGGTACCCATGATACATCCTAAGTATGACTTCCATGGCACATACTAAGGTTACTGAGCCAGAGTTGATTGGCCCATAGTGACCGACACTTCAACAGGACAACAGGATGTGACATGTGCCTTTATTTCTGATGCAATTTCCACATACGGCTATGAATCAAAACTCTAGCATCTGTGGATGTTTATTATTCCAGTTATATGGTAAGTGCATAGGTAACTTGACCGTCCCCATATTTCCACCTGGCACCAAGCCAAGCTGCTGGTCATCGATTCAGCACGGCCTGTCGAAAAGGGCCAATAAGGGGAACGGGGCCCAACCCCAACTTAGAGATCTTAGACACAGCACCCACGAACGTTTGCAGATGGATTTTCTCAACTGGAATGTATTGCAAATGCTGGGTTGAATTTGTGACTTGAAGAGTTTGAAGCCTTGCCGCATCAGGTTAAGTCTCCCACGGTGTCCACCCTTCCCAACAGCTCCCCTACCTGTACCTGCCACACTAGGTTCCTCGAAAATCACGCCGCCGTCCATCATATCATCCATCATCGCTCCACTGAGGTTGAGCGATGAATCTCACCCCTTTGAGCCAAAGCCTGTCCCTTCAGGATTGCAATAAGGTGTGGATCCCCAATAGCAATCACACAGTTGTGGCCCTTAACAATTCTTAGCAACTATCGACTATCAATGTTATTATAATTCCTAAAACTATGGTTATATGCATCATTATATATATAAGCCCATTTAAAAGTATTGAGTAGGGCCATAACTGCGGCTTATTTGTTTAAAACTATTGTCATTGTTGTTCTTATTATCATTATTAAGATTTGTGATTAATATCAATATTAAAATTATAACAATTATTTAAAGATTATATGTATATATATATATTATTATAATTAATTATATATATATATATGTACATGCATCACGACAAAACAGTGCTTGGATGCACCAAGCTTCACCAGCTGCCGGATGTGGTCTGAGGTGAAGGGTCTAGGAGCCTGGCCCCATGGTGCACTGGTGCGGCAAATTGGGGTCCAATCTTTGATCAACGGAATCAATGTTACCCTCTGCTTATTTAACATAGCCATGGAAAATGGCCAATTTGTAGATGGTTTACCTGGGTTTACCTATTAAAAATGGTGATTGTCCATGGCTATGTTAAATAACCAAATGGTAATACATATATATATATATATATAATGGGTAGATTTTAGGGAACAATATGGAACATCTTTGGCTGAAACATGTTGAACATTTCACCGGGTTTTTTCTCAGCCACATAGTTTTTTTCTGCAACGTGTCCCATATTCTGGGATTTGAACCCAAAATCCCAGTGGCAGAATGAAGAGTTCATGGTCTCAGACGTGGTTCGTCTGTCCAAACTGGCCATCACCAGTTGATCAATACCCTCTGGTATCCCTCTGGTGATTCAACGTCAGACTCAACAAATGGGCAAACTCCAGAATTCATATAAAATTCAATAATTACCCTCTGGGAATTTAAGATATCTATTGAAAATGGTTCATTTATAGTTGATTTAACCATTAAAATGGTGATTTTCCATAGTTTTTTGTATGTTTACCAGAAGGTATCCATTGTTTGCATTAAAATTCCCATCATCTCCGCCCCGAAGACAATCCAGCCACCTACCTCAAACATCCTGAAACATCGCCACCTCGCTATGTCGCAGTGTGCGCTGATCCGTGATCGACGCTCTCTCCTGGATCAAACGCGTTACACAGGGGGGTTGAGGTATCATTGAAGACATTTTTCTTTTGAACATATATATATATATATATATCTATATAGATATATATGTATATTAATATATTTGTATATAACTCATATATGCTCATATAACCCACCCATCCAAAAAAATGTTATCAATTATCCTTGTATTTGCTGACAAGGCGATCACCCCTTTCACAAGTGGGTTCACATTGGGATCACAAGGCTTCTGCAACGCTTAAATCCAGTTTCTGCATCGGTACTATGAATTTGTGACTGTCCCGTTTAACAGCCTAACGTGTTTATCCACAAACCATGGCATTTGGCATCACAATCATCATAGAACCAAGCAACGACCCACAAAAACAGGAATGTACAGTACATAACCACAACAAAAACAAAGCTATGAAACATGTGCATGCAACCAGCAATCCATGTTTTGGCGTGTTCCCCCACTCTCGGTGCTCTGTCATGCAAGCGTTTGATTGCCCACACAATTTGCAAAAGCGGACCATCTGAGTGAATGAATTTGTGAGAACTTACTTTAAACTTTAAACAAATGCATTGATGCCATTCGTTTGCAAGTTGTATAACGATTCACTGCTGTGAACTTACATCATTCACACATGGATCGTTCGATGGGTTTCTGCATCGCAATCCTTCAGTGGATATTCCACGTGCCAATGTTGCTGCGTAAACAATGGCATTTTGATGAACTTGGGACTATTCAATCAATTGAAACCATCCATTTTTAGCCCATTACTATGGAACCCCCCACATTTTTCCAAACACAACTCCCAGGTGCCCGGGGAAGCCTGCTGCTGACGTGCCATTTCATGTTGCCGCTTACGCCGCCTTGGAACGAAGCCGAACTGAACGTCAACAAGGGGGATATGCAATGTCCGGGTAGGACCAACATGGACCAACATGGACCAGTCTATGGCGATATCATGGGGATACAAGTGAGAATATCATGGAATGCACATATAGCATTATATAACGATAACAATACAATAACTATAATATGTATATTTATATTGATTTATGTATTGCTACAGGCAACCAACATCAACCAACTATATTGTTGGGTTGGTCTGAAATGGGGTATGGGCCCCTCCAAAGAAATGTTCATGAGAATATGATAAACAAGGTGCCGGGCATCTGAGGGGGCCCCCGCTGTTGTCACTGTTCAAACATCTTACAGGGGGGACCACAAAACGCTGAAAAACGAAACTTTAGCATCAGGAGCAATTTCATCATCATCATCATCATCATCATCATCTCATCATCATCATCATCATCATCATCATCTGCATGTTCTACGATCTGAAAGTGCATGAGAACGTACAGCGGCGTAGCATGACGTATGCGTGCAAGTTTATGAGAACGTACAGCGGCGTAGCATGACGTATGTGTGCAAGTGCATAAGAACGTACAGCAGCGTAGCATGACGTATGTGTGCAAGTGCATGAGAACGTACAGCAGCGTCGCATGACGTATGTGTGCAAGTGCATGAGAACGTACAGCAGCGTAGCATGACGTATGGACGTATGTGTGCAAGTGCATGAGAACGTACCGCAGCGTAGCATGACGTATGTGTGCAAGTGCATGAGAACGTACAGCAGCGTCGCATGACGTATGTGTGCAAGTGCATGAGAACGTACAGCAAATGACGCTATTGTCCCACCCCACACCCCACCCCACCCCCCCAACCCAACCCCCCACCCCACCCCCACCCCCCCCCACCCCCCCCCCACCCCACCCCACCCGTCTATGATGTTGTTTTTAGTGTAATGTCAGAAACTGACAACAGCGGGGGCCTCGTCAGATGCCCGGCACCATAAACAACCATCGAATGGGGGTGATTCCATATCTTCAAACAAAAAAAATGAAGGTAATGCATTCCCGTGCTTTCTGTATTTCATTAATTACACACATTATTTTGCAGAATTCTGCTCGTATACATTAAATGTATACGAGCAGAATTCTGCAAAGTTGTTTGAAAACGATCGTGATGACATGTTCAGAAATGAAGAGCACAAGATGAAATTTATAACTTGGTGGTTTTCCGTCTCAACATCGATTTGTTGATCTGTTTATGCTGAAATATATAAGTCAAGGAAAAACAGGTATGCAAATGCGAACGGAACTGCAAACAAACGCACAACTGCATGTGAGAAGATTCAAAACAATAATTAATTTAGTTTGATGATTAAACTCTCATTTTTAATGTTTAAATCCTTTTTTGTTTATTAAATTAAATTAAATTCACTGCTGTTCAAACCCGGCTTTCTCCCCCTGGATCATCGAGGTACTCCAAGCGTCGCTCTTCCTGCCGGAGATGTGTTGGATGGTTTTGGGTTGGACGGTTGGCCATTTACCAAATGGAATCCAAATGGAAACTGAAAAAACCGCTTAAAGAGTAGTTTGAGGAGAAATTCACACTTGAAAAAAACATGGCTTTATGAAAAAAACAAAACTCACTCCATCTCCATTTTGATGGCTGTTGGATCTTGGGTCCCAAGATGTCCACAAATGTCCACCACGCGCCCCCAACTTGGGGGAGCCTGTGCACGCTTCAAACGTTCGCCCCGGAACGCAAAGTCACCTGGGAGGAGCACATATTTACCGAGAGTATTTTCACTAGTAATCACACTTAAAAATTGAGATTTAGATGATTTACTAATTAATAAAACATAGGATCTTCCATGGTGAATTATACGATCGTTCATTCATTGTATGAACTGATAGTTCGTGGTAAATGGTTACTGATTGTTAATGGTTGTATTAATGTGGCAAACCCAATGCCGCAAACCATCCCCAAAATCACATTGTTTTATGGGTCGGTTGTTGCACCATCCCCAAATTGCAGGTTAGTGGTGGTGGTTCATATACTTATCAATATGTTAGAGTACCTGAGGATAATTTAAGATTCTCTGAGGGCTTCTAAGAGGAAACATAGTCTTCAAAGAGGGATGGTGTGAACCCAACAATTGGAATTTACAGCAACAGAAGGGAGATTGGACCATGCCATTAATTAATGGGTTTGGTGATCCTGTCGCTTATGATTATTCTACTTTAGTGCTACCTGGAAATGTACGGCTTAGCTGTGTCTGGCTCACCTTTTTCCCCAACAGTCAAATTCTCCCAGCAAACGCAGGTCCAATTGCCAAGCACAGATGCATGACCATAAACCTCTTCAAAACTATACCAACATTTTTAGGACCTAGGCTGATAACTTAGCACTGGGAAATCCATGGAAATCCCATGTTCTTTCTCTGGGGGTTCACCTGCATATGGAGATCAAGGGGTCGCCACATGGTCACATGGTGAGGCCACTCGAATTGATGATTTCACTGCCACGCTTTGTGGCTTCTTTGTTGGGTGTCTGCAATTTCCACCAATCAGAAGAATTACACACCCTCCTGAACACATCTGATAGATAGGAAAATCCACAAAAACCCATGAAAATCCATGAGCATCCACCATGACTCCACCATTTCCAGCTGTCCAAAAAAATGGCACCCTTCGCCCCGCCGCCCGCCGCCAGGGAACGGTCCATGGCGCTAATGCTGAAGCGCTCACCCGTCCAATGCAACAGGAAACCCATCTCTTCCACCTGGAACCGAGTTGGTGGCGCCATGATCTGCATGGGAAAATCCATTTGGGCGAATTGGTGTCCGGCGAAGACGTTCCAGAACAATCCAGTGAAGCGAAACGATTGGAAGATGGTCACAGATGGGTTTAGATTTTAGTTTGTCTGATACTTGCTGACGAACTACCCACGAATCGTTTGTGTAGCTTTGTTCACCCTAGTTGTAAGTGGAGTAACCCAACAAACATCCCA